GCGAAGCAATGCCGTTGCGATCCTTTGTGAACCATCCGAACAGTTTCTGTTATATTTGTGGTAAGGTGACACTGAAAGCTCAGCGAAAGACCTTGAGCCCACTTGTAAGAAAGCCTAGGAGTCATACTCCGGCTTCAAAGTTGCCGATCAAGACAAAGCTTGGACTCCCAAAACATGCTACCGCACTTGCTCAAGAACCTCAGCAGGATGGCTACGGGGTACTCACACTTCTATGAAATTTGGAGTGCCAATGATTTGGCGGGAACCTAAGAATCATGTTGATCATTGTTACTTTTGCTGAACAAAAATTCTGGGATCTTCTTGTAAAAGCAAGCACAAAATAGTGTATCCTAATATCCCCTCAGCCAGTAGACCTGTACCTCATGACTCCCAAAGAAATATGATGAATCAGATAATTCTGAGCCAGAAGCCGGTCCAAGTTTTGAAGAGGAAGTCGTTTTTGAATGTAGTAGCAGCCGACAGATACATTTTATATCTCAGGAAGAGCTCAATGATCTAGTTCGTGATTTAGATCTTCCCAAAAGAAAATCACAACTACTTGGATCTCGTTTGCAGCAATGGGACCTTTTACTAACAGATGTGAGAATTTCCACGTTTCGGGTCAGGTAGTCTATGCTGGCCGTATTTTTCTCGATGGAAAATGGCTTAGTTTACTGTCGTGATATTCCAGGTTTACTGAATGATACTTGGCATTGCCTATCTACCTACCGAGTGGCGACTATTTATTGACTCTTCGAACACAAGTCTAAATGCAGTTTTGTTGTTCAATGGAAACGAACGGTCATCAGTTGCCGTTGGTGATGCTGTAAATATGAAAGAAACATACTAGAACATGCGCATATTACTCCAAAGCATAAAATACAAAGATCATAAGTGGAATATCTGTGCCGATCTCAATTTTATTGCATTGCTCACAGGAATGCAGAGTGGCTTCACAAAATATTGTTGTTTTTTCTGAGAATGGAACAGCAGAGCCAGAAACCAACAATATGTAGTTAAACATTGGCCGTTACGTGAAAACATTGTACCCGACCAAAAAAATATCCCTAATGAACCCTTAGTAGATCAGCAGAAAGTTTATTTACCTCCTCTGCACATAAGGCTAGGGCTTATAAAAATTTTCGTGAAAGCCTTCCAGAAGGAACTGCATTCCTTTATTTGAGATGGAAATTCCCGCGTATAAACGAAGCAAAGCTTAAAGAAGGAATTTTCGATGGACACCCAAAACTACACTTTCGAGAAAGGAAAAAAAAACATGAGATGCCTTCAAAAATGTATGTAGCAACTTCCTAGGCAACAAAAAGTCGGACAACTACAAGGATCTAGTTGAAGAACTTATTCAATCTTATAAGTTGCAATATGTCACTTAAGCTGCATTTTCTTCACTCCCGTTCAGAATTCTTCCCTGACAATTTGGGTGCAGTTTCAGATGAGCGCGGCGAAAGATTTCACCAGAAAATTGCTCAGATAGAGAAGCTCTATAGTGGAAAGTGGACCACAAACATGCTGGCGGACTACTGCTGGGCCATTAAACGAAAAACCGCTCCTGGCGAATACAAGCGAAAAAAGACAACCAAATAAATTGTTTGATTGTTTTTTGTTTATACAGGGTGGCGCAGAGGAAACGCACGATTTTCACCTATGCATAACATTTTTTATTTTCACGATAACTTTGTTTCAGTTACAGCTAAATAAAGTAATGATAGTGCACTTTTAAACTAATGATGGTAAATAACGTCACTCAAGTGTCGCCCTGCTTCGCGCTCGCACATCTCCAACCGCTCTTGAAAGTTGTGCATTACACGTAAAATCGTTTCTTGTGGTATTCTTGCAATTTCTTGACGAATAGCAATTTTCAGTTCCTGTAACGTACGAGGCTTGTGAGGGTACACTTTATCCTTAAGGTAACCCCACAAAAAGAAGTCGCATGCGGTCAAATCTGGGGAGCGTGGGGGCCAAGGGACATCGCCGAAACGGGAAATCACATGTTCAGGAAACATCTGTCGAATCCATTCCATTGATGCTCTCGCTGTGTGAGCTGTGGCACCGTCTTGTTGGAACCACAGCTCTCCCATGTTTACTTGTTGCCGTTGAAGTTCGGGTAACAGAAAATTTTGTAACATGTGAACATAACGTGCTGAAGTAACTGTTACTGCTCTTTCTTCCTCTTCAACAAAGTAAGGACCAACGATACCTAATTTACTGATTCCACACCACACAGTTAATTTTTGACTATGCAAGGGTCGTTGGTGTAGCTCTCGTGGATTTTCGGCCGCCCAATACCTACAGTTCTGCTTGTTTACATATCCTGTTAAATGGAAGTGTGCTTCGTCACTCATCATTATGACGACGTCAGGATCGTCAGCAAAAATGGCCCGCATTCTCGCACAAAATTCTCTACGCTGTGCAAAATCGCTTTCCGTTAGCTCTTGCACGATCATTATCTTGTACGGATGATATTGTAAATCGTCATGCAGAATGCGTTGTAACGACCGACGGGACATACGCAGAGTTGGAGCTTGGCACCTAGTGGACCGTTGGGGACTATCAAGGACCGCTCTTCTCACTGTTTCGATATTGCCCGCACGGTACGGGGAAGGCCAGGTGGCTTCCTCTTCATTACGGATCCAGTACTTCGAAATGCTTCAACCCATCGGAGTATTGTGTTTCGATCTGGAATTGGCCCGTGGCGTTCAACATTGAACTGTCGACGGAATAAACGTTGCACGATCACTACAGAATCATCGTTTCGAAAAAATTGCTCGACGGCAAACACACGATGCTCCGTCATCCACGGTGCCATGGCTGAAACTGCATCGCATGTGTTCTCTGCTGGCGGTGCGGCGAGGTCATATCCCTATTCTGTGCGAAATACCATTCGGTCAGAAAACATGCTATGACAAGAAGTGTATATTCTAAAAAAGTGATTTTTTTATTTTAATTTTTAAAAATTCACCACTAGATCGCTTATAATTTGAGACTTTCATATTTTATATTCTCCTTCTCTAAAAACTTGTGGGTGATGGGGAGAAACTGGCTGCATATTAGATTTCAGTACAACACCATAGATGCAAAAAAAAACCCGAAAAAATTTCAGAGAGCGACAGAACCTCAGTATGCACGCACTGCCGTTTCCTTCCAGCTACAGTATACAACTTACAGCTTAGACCTCCAATAATGCCATCTCTGAACCAGGCTTACACCGTGGTTATCCAAGCGCTTATATAGCGCATAGCACACAGTGTAAATGGTCCCTGAGCAGCATATACGCGCTAAATAACAGAGTGAAAGTTCTAAATCAAGGTCTAACGGCTGGTTCAACAGATCATGCGACTTGTCAACAGAAAATCAATCACGAACTACTGTTGAGTACACACAAGCCGATGTTGAGTTTAAAAACAAATATAATGAAGCTGTTCGCAATGCCACAGATCAGCACTACGCAAAAATCATGCACTGGGTAATGTCGCAGCTGAATGGCAATCGGCCCTTCTGGAAGCTGGTCAAGCAGATAGGAGGAAACTTCTCAAAGTGTAGCATTCCTCCGCTTACGTGCCAAGATGGGACGATTGTAAACGACTCCAAGGCTAGGGCGGAATTGCTTGCCAAGATCTTTGCTGCCAAGTCCACCATGGACGCCTTCCCCCCAGCATCCGTGTGCCGTCGATCCCAACGGTTCCCTACACTATGCGGAAAGTAACATTTATACATAATACCGGGTGTTCCTGTCGCTTAGCATCAACAAATCTTCTGGGTGTGATTCCTACTATTGTGCTGAGCAGATGTGCAGCGCAGCTACCTCCAGTTATTTCGCGTCTCTTTTCCAGTTTTTTTACGAATCTGGGACTTTCACAGAGAATTGGAAACTTGCTCATGTTCACTCTGTCCCAAAAAAGACTAACTGTAGACCTATAGTTCTACTTTCTGTTATCAGTAAGGTGATGGAAAGGTGCATAAATAGGTAGCTTTTAGAGTATCTCGAATGTCACGGCTGGATTAGCGATAAACAGTATTGTGATAACTGGGGGTGTGAACCCGACGAGATGTGCTCATGCCAGATCAAGTCCTCGGTGACCAGCCGGAATGAACGCCATCCATCGAAACCGGATGAGCGCTAGGAGGTTTTTTGTTCGTCAAGATACAGTACTGTGTTTTGGAAGCGTTAAACTGTACAATATTGTTGCACCCCAAGCAGTGGTAATCTCCAGATCTCTCTTCAGAGAGGAAGAGATCGGCTTCTGAAGAGATCGGCTTGTCGCCCTGAATTCCTGCATGTAGAGTGCTGTCATCGGCGTACCTATAGATAGGATTCATCGTGCAGAAGGTGAGGTCCTTGATATATAATAGAAACAATATTTGAGCCCAGACCGATTCCTGGGGAACACCGGCGTTGAAATTGTTGCACGAAGAGGAGAAACCGACAATTACTACCGATATCTTGAGGCTGGAGAGCACACGATGATAATGGAAAACAGGTACGCATAGAACGACATGAGTTTATTAGTGCTCTATGGATATCTAAGCTCTTAGCTGTCGACGCCCAAAGTGTAAACATGACCGGTGATCCAGCATTCCGAGGAAAGTACTTCAAAATGCTTGCAGGGAGAGACGCCGCTGTCAGCTTTATGTCAGCAGCGATTTGACCTTCTCACTGATGTTAAGTGATACAGTAATAGTTCCATCAACACGCCTGATGTAGGTGATAATGATAACAAATGCGACTATGGCACTTACCGTAAGACTACTGTGGCCTGTAAGCGATATCGTATCTTATAGACTCTAATAATGCGATTTCGTCTCGGCATTTTGCTCAGGATATCAGTATACCCATAATCTAAAAGTAACGATATCAGATATCATAGGTATTCAAAAATAACGATATCGGCCATATTTAGCTGGGGCAGCTGAAGCATAATATACAAATTAATTACATATAAACACTATGTCATATTTCTAATTACAAATTTTTATCTTTCCAGACTTCGATAATTAGTATAGCATCAAAGCCAATCAATGGAGCAACAATTGCAGTTCCAGGTAAAGATTAAAGCAAAATCATTATTGTTATATCACATATCATAACAGATAGGGTAACCCAGATTGTGTGTGGAGGTGAAATTGCTCATAGACAAATAATTTTAAAAAGGTATTTATACATTTCTCACAATTACGGTGCCTTTTTTGAGCCACATCGTAAAAGTTTTTAATTAACTTCCCCATCACCGGTGTGAAGTTGGCAGACAAAATTTAGCGGACAATTTGCCGAAGATACCCGAATGACCAGTGGCGTCGACATCCTCGACCAGACTGTGATTGTGAAGGATACAGCTAACAGCTCACAACAATAAATATATATGCACGAGAATAAGCACCCCTAAAGGAAGAATCATTCTCCACCCTAATTAAATAATTCGCAGGAACAAGAGTTAACCCAAAACCTTTCTTCGAATTTTCACTTACCGATTACTGTATTGAAAGTAATTAATGAGCTAAATAGCATATACTGAGAAAATCTCTAAAGGGGTGCTAGATGGAAAAATATAAATAAAACTTCATTTTCACCCCCAAAAAAATGATTCCCCAAAATGATTTATATCTCAAAAAAATACTCTATTACAGAGACAATTTATAGGCTGGGTGGCATGGTGTGAGAAAGCTTCTAAAAGGCTGGCAGATAAAAAAATATGCTAAAAAATTCATTTTCACCCCCAAGGAAATGATTCCCCAAAAGCAGTTGTACCTCAAAAAAATACTCTATTATAGAGACAATTTATAGGCTAGGTGGCATGGTGTGAGAAAGCTTCTGAAAGGCTGGCAGATAAAAAATATCTCTGTATTGCAGAAAAAGCCTTTAAAAACGTGAAGGGTAGAATAACATATTTATGGATTTTGTCTAAGTGCTGTTAAGATATAGATGAGTTGGTGTTTTCTCTGAAATCAGTAAAGTACAAAATTCGTATCTACGTACTGTTTTGACAAAATTATGCATTTAATTCAATAAATCAATTGTTCCGATTGATCAGTGATGTTTCGATTATCTTTAGATGGATATCAAGCGGAACACGCTAAAGTTATTTTACCGCCATAGGCAATATAACCGCTCTACCGCTCGACCACAAATAAAATACGTTATGTTTGTTTTTCAATTTATTGCTAAACATTTGATATTTCCAGAATGAGATATCAAGACTGCTGGGCTCAGATAGCGCAGCAATAAGAAGGATCCATTTTGAAGAGACTACTAGTTCGGATACAGATTCTGATGACAAGTCCTTAGATGAAAACTACTTGAACAATCAACCACCACCATGCGATTACAACATCATCAAAGATAGTGTAATAAAAATAGGCACCGAATCTGGCAAAAATACAAAGAAAAAGAAGAATATGAGAAATTTCCAGTTATCTTATGTAACAAAATGTGATACCGAGTTATTCTCTCAGTCTGATTTTCCGCCATTATTCAAGGGTAGTAATCTACCGAACACTGACATCAATTCAGTAACTGAATTAGTGTCTAATAATAATGATCGCTTTGTAAGGCATACTGCAACTGTGCAGTTACTATGTAGTGATGACGAGGATTGGAGTGATGGTGATGATGATGTAGTTATTGGAGATGAACATGTATCTTTAAGAAACGATTCCGATATCAGGTTTGATTGTGGTTCTGATGAAGATATCTCTTGGGCAGCTATTGTAGGTCGAACAGAAAAAACAGAATTGAAAGAAAATCAAATTGGCGAACAAGAACTTTTTGTGAGTCATAATGTTCACCATGAAAATAGTCACAATATATCTAAAACATATTTAGCAAGCGAAAAGAATAAAAAGAGTCCCCAGGAACAAGAAACACTGAGTCCAATACGGGGAGGAAGTACAATCGAGAAATCGGAAATTTGCTATTATCAAATGGAATTTCCCATTTTAGGACACGGTAGATGTACTAAAAATAAGCAAACATGTGCGATGAATGATATTCGTTATTCCAACTCGTCAACCAATGAAAAAGATTTGGTGCTGTCACCAAACGTTGCCGAGCTTGGAGAAAGTCGTTCGAATCATGTTTATGAAGAAAATTTTGAATATAAACTGGCAGGTGATACTGTAGATTCAAATTCGGAATTTATCTCAATGAGTAAGCATGACTCAAATACTAACAATAAAAAGAGTCCCCAGGAACAAGAAACACTTAGTCCAATACGGGGAGGAAGTTCAATCGAGAAATCGGAAATTTACTATTATCAAATGGAATTTCCCATTTTAGGACACGGTAGATGTGCAAAAAATAAACAAAGATGTGCGAGGAATGATATTCCTTATTCCAACTCATCAACCAATGAAAAAGATTTGGTGCTATCACCAAAAGTTGCCGATCTCGGAGAAAGTCGTTCGAATCATGTTTATGAAGAAAATTTTGAATATAAACTGGCAGGTGATACTGTAGATTCAAATTCGAAATTTATCTCAATGAGTAAGCATGACTCAAATATTAACAATCAAGAACCGAGTACAACTGATGTAAAAAAGAAACAGATACCCAGAAGTACCAAATCTGCTTTTACGCCATTATACAAGCGGAGTAATCTACCGAACTCTGGCATTAATTCAATAATTGAATTAGTGACTAATAATAATGATCGTTTTGTAGATGTGCGTTTTTTATGTAGTGATGATGATGAAGTACCATTTATTGAAGATGAGCATGTGTCTTTAAAAAACGAAAATAGACGCAATATATCTAAAAAATATTTAGCTAGCGAAAAAAATAAAAAGAATCCCCAGGAACAAGAAACACTTAGTCCAATACGGGGAGAAAGTACAATCGAGAAATCGGAAATAGGGGCTTTTGATTATTGTGAAATGGAATTTCCCATTTTAGGACACGGTAGATATACAAAAAGTAAACAAAGATGTGCGAGGAATAATATTCCTTATTCCAACTCATCAACCAATGAAAAAGATTTTGTGCTATCACCAAACGTTGCCGAGCATGGAAAATGTCGTTCCAATCATATTTATGAAGAAAATGTAGATCCAAATTGGGAATGTATCTCAATGTGTAAGGACGACACAAATACCAACAATCAAGAACCGAGTACAAGTGGTGTAAAAAAGAAACAGATACCGAGAAAGGAGGTACAGGCTGAGTTATCTATAAGCAGCAACTGTTCTGGGTCTTTACCTACTATTGAAAGCTTAATAGAATGTGATAAATACGCCCAAAAAACAAAGAATCACTGTGCGATGAATGGTAATATGAATAAGAGTGTAATTAAAAATAACACTTGTTCATTAGGAAGTTCTACAGATTCTCAGATACAACAACATAAAAGTAATTCAACTGTAAAAAAGAAAAAAAGGAAGAAAAATAAGATACAAAATGATTTGAAGCATTTAAGTGGTTCCGATATTCAGGATAATCGTACCTTTGATAAGCCTGCTACATTTCCAATTTTGTTTAAAGATAACGATATTTGTGAATTTGAATATGAGCCAAAGTATATATACATGGATGGTTTACCTTTTATAAACCCACTATACTTGGCGTACAACTCGTACAGACGTAGCATTACTTATATTGCATTTGAAGATTCTATGACGCGTTTCTCAAGATCTGATATACCGTATAAACTTGCGGATTTGCATATTGACCGTGAATTCATTGGTAATGGGTATGCAGAGAAAATAAAAACATTTATACATAGCGAATTGTTTGAAACTTTTCGAAGTCAAGCTCAAAACAGTTTGCTAAAAAAGAGAAAACGTAAAAGACGGAGGAAGAAATCGCATATTGAATTACCTGTAAACTGTTGTCCTGCTCAAGACGATTCAAATAGAGGAGTACATTCGAAAAAAGAAAATATCACAGTGCCTGAAACTGTCTTAAGTGAGCATAACAACAAGGAATTTAACCGTCGAGGGAGATTTGTTAGCACATCTCTAAGTATAGCGACGAGTATGCCAGTCATTAACAGCGCAGCAAAAACTTATGAAACCGATGAAATTCCCTGGTTTTTCCAGTTCAAAGATACCAGTTTTACGGATATTAGTAAATTTAGAGATCTGTATCTAAATACAAATATGAAACATGTTATCGAAGAGTGTAATGAAATGAATATTAGCAAATCTGCAGGCAGCCCAGATTATTTATCAAGTATTGACACCATGGCGCAAAAATATGGATTCTGCAATGTCTCCTGGTATTTCCATTTTAAAGGTAATTTTACAACTTTTAGTAATTTTAGAGAACTTTATTTAAATACAAATATGGAAAATGTTATTGCATACAAAAACACCAAGAAAAAATTACGTAGAAAGCGGAGAAGAGAAGTTCAATTTCCCCCATGTCATTCTCCCATTGAAGATAACTACGTATATGAACCATCATCGCAAAAAGAATATATGACGGTATCTGAAAATGCTACTAGTGAGTTAAATAATTACAAGGAACTTAATCGCCGAGAAAGATTTGTTAGCATATCTCAAAATATAGCTCAGAATATACCAGCCATTGACAGCGCAGCAACTCACGAAATCGGTAAGATTTCTTGGTATTTCCAGTTCAAAGATAATGATTTTACAGATTTTAGTAAATTCAGAGAACTTTATCTAAATACAAATTTGACAACTGTTATCGAAACTAATAATAGAAAGAAGCGTACGGACGAAAGCTCAAAACCGAAAACTACATCTTTGGGGTTGAAAAAGGAATTATTCAAAAATTCAAAAAAGTCTAATATGTATAACTTTTATGGTTCTGTCAGTTGTTGGTATTTTCAACACAGAGCAAATAATTTTATTGAATTTTGCAAATTCAGAGAAATTTATTTAAATAGAAGCCTCGATCATAGCTTCCAGAAAAATTGTGAATTGAGGCCTCGTACAATTATCAACTCCAAAATTAGAATGCGAAGCAAATATATATCTCCATTCGATGAAAACACAACATTGACAAGAGAGAAAATCCCTACATATATTTACAATATGGGAAATACTTATATTTCTAATACCAACCTAACGTGTGAAGGCATTGTATCATATGATACTAGTGATGCTATTATAGAATGTGAATCTGTTTGTGATAGCAATAAGTTATGTAATGTAGGCTGCGGTGATGTTAAAGATCCTTTAAAATCAGGTATTGCAACTCTTAGATATTCAGGTATTTATTTACGTTTGTCATTGTGTTGTTTACTGCTTGTAATTGGTTCAAAGCTCGTTACTCATTTGTATGATTTCTTTTTAGAAAATGATGTACTGTTATGTTGTGCTATGTTATTGTTTGTTTATATTATGTTAGAATGACAATAAATTCTTGTATTCAGTAATTCGCCGTATTTCTTCTAGGAACATGATAGAACCTTAAATGCAACAAATTCCGCCTTATATATGTTTGGGTAATAATTATTGGATTATTCACTTTTCGCAATTATAACAATCACATCAACTGTGCCTTGAGTTCAAATAATCATAAAACTATGAGAAATGCATGAGCATTAAATTATTTTTCTTGGCTTAAATTTAATTAATTTAATATTATAGTTTTCGTTTTCAGTTCTAATTGTGCTCAGTTCCAAAAATTGCGGATATTCTTGTATGATAATATATAGGTATTCTTTACTGGGATTAATCACTTTTTTTTTCAGTTTTGTACTTTTAATTTCTTCGGATTCTTGGAATGTATAGATGCTAAAAAGTGTCTCTTTTCAAATTGCCAACGTTTTGCCGTTCATTTTTCGCGTTCTTCGATGCTAAAAAAATTGAAAAAACACATTAATAAAATGTAAATGAAGCATTAAACGAAAAAAAATCGGTCAAAAAGATTGACCAAAACACATGAAAACCGCAGAATAAAAACAAACAAAAACAATGGCAATAAACGTGTGTACATACTAAGAAGTTATCATGTAGTTTTAGAGATTTAAACAATTTAAAAAATGAACATTATATAGAAACATATTAAAAAAAACTAGATTAAGAAACAACAGGGTTTCGGAAGGTCGATACCATCCTTTTAAGGGGATCATTCAGCCATTTATACCGTCCGTAGTCTATTGAAATATATGGCAGCTCCTTGACGTGGCGACGTATGCCAGAAGCGATAGGCTGCTTTCGGATGTTGGTGACGGCGGCGTCCCGCAGGTGTATTATTATTAAACCTAAGAAAACGTAAAACAAAACGACGAAACGTCTTGCAGACTAGGTAGTTTTTAGTGCGCAAATAGTTCAGTCCACGTTTGCTTGCTATGACCGCTGTTCGCTGGCGTTTAAGCCACATGTACAGCTACAAAACGAGTTCACAACAAGTGTACAACAGCCTTGTGTTAACATCTTGTATAAAAACCTTCGTTATGTCACAGAAAATCTACGAAATTTCAATAAGCCGACGAAATGTCACTTTTCAAAATAGGTAATACACGTGCCGGTCAGGGAGTGCCTTTAGTATAAAGTCGAACACGTCATGGTTATTTAAAAAGTGACATTAAGTCGATTTTTTTGACATTGTATTAGTTTTTTGTCATATTGTGTAGGTTTCTCTACAAGATGTTAATTAACACTAGCTGATGGACACGTTGTGAACTCGTTTTGTAGTTGTCCGTGTTGCCAAAACGTCATGAGGCTTCAGTTATCATTAATCAAATTCAAGCGGATAACCAAATCGAAATGGTATTTACCATTTTGGGTTGGTATTTACCAATCCGTTCAAGCGAGTGTAGTTATCAGTTTGGTTATAAGATCCGTGACGTCACGAATCAGCTGTTATATGTCATAGTTATCACCGCAAAATTGTGGTATTTACCCAACTCAAGAGTAGTTTTATATTACTGGTTATTATTTGAAATGTGACAAGTTAGAATTTTGCCGGGTATTGAAATTGGATATTGTTATTGTACTTCAGCTTCATTTTTGAGAAAAATGATACAGGCTGACTTCAGTTTTACCATAAAGTGGAGCACCTTATTAGTTATACTCATTACGGTTGTTGGGGACACTTTAAATGTAGTTCCTATGCTTAACAAAGTATCCTGTGCAGCCATATACCACAAGAATATTAAAATATGGCCATATAAACTCACTAGATTCTTTGACATGCGGAAAAATTTAGAGAATTGAAAGTTATCATAGCTACAAAGCCATGGTTCCATCATTAAAAAAAAAATCTGAAAAAAACATTTCTCCCATGAATATTATGAAAGGTTTCTTATTTAAACTTTCCATATACAGTTGTAGACGAAAAAGTACCGATTATTAAGTGATAATAAAAATAATCAGAGATTATATACGCGCTTTTCTAAAATAAACAACTTGCAACAAAACCGCGGTTAAAACCAACGCGTTCAAGCGATTCGTGTAACTGACGTCATCAACCCGTGTGTCATCTTGAACCATATTATAACCGCGGCACATAACACAGGTTATTCGCTTGGATTTGATTAATGTTTGGCTCTGACGTGATAAAAAATCTGCTTCAGATATGGCATTACTGAAGGTCTAAGCAGTAAGTTGTGTACTATAGCTAGAAGGAAACGCTGAGGATTTGTGTGCTAATAATATGTGATGATGATACTTCCATTTGATTCTTGTCTGCATTTCACTTACTTGAGATTCAAAGCTAGAAATAAGTTACGCATCCACTTTTTCTTATCCATCCTGGAAATAATATATACAAATTTGTATTTTAAAAATGAGAGAGATAAGAAATAATTATATTCACTGTACACTGTCGAACACAAGTCATATACATGCTAACAGTAATTACACAACGCGGGCGCGATGGTGATCAGAAACAACACTTTGCAATAAATAAAAACTCTACAGAGGCGCAAGTGAAAACAATGAAAACACTACTGTAAATACTGCCCAGATAAAATGCCGGCACCCCCCCCCCCCCCCCCCAACCTTCTTAAATAAAGCGATTACGGGACTTCCACGCGCGGAGCACGCGTTTTGCACGGGTCTTCCCCGGCATTAGCAGTGGAGTTTTTGAAAAGTATAACGCTACAGTCACGTATCTTTATATAATTATATACTTTATGTATATTGACAAACAGTAGATTTCTTTAGAATAAAAATTTAAATTTATAAATAGGCCAGTCCTAAAAATCACCAGAAATAGGACTTTTCAAAAAAGTGTTCACCATATCACCAGATTGGTCTACAAATCACCAGATCTGGTGATTTTTCACCAGACCTGGCAACATTGCACAGCAAATATCACTGATTTTATACACATGCAGACCAATACACATATATCCTATTTCACGACTATCCATCACGCTTTAACGTCTACAGAGGTGAACAGCTGATCAGCAAGTGACATTTTTCTGTTAGTCTGTGTCATTGGCAATAGTGAATCGCGTGTAAATCTAGTAATACTTGCTTGCAGCGTTTTGTTTTTTGTATGCCACTGAGCTTTTCAAAATAAAAGAGCTGCTATCAAGTACAAAATGGATCTGTAGCGAACAAAAAACCAAAACAAAATACAACTATGACTACCTTACGTTGACGGATCCGTCAGAATTATGTGTCCTGCGCCGATATGGGGAATTTTGAGTTATTACTAGATAATCCGCTGTCATTCTACCGTGATGGATACTCGCGAGTACATGAAACATATGCAACCAACAATGCGTGTAGTTGAGTCATTCCTCCAAAGATGGCCGCTCACAGCGGTCTTAGCGAGCAAACGTGGAATGAACTATTTGCACCCTAAAAAGTACTTATATAGTCTGCAAGATGACATTTTATTGGTTTTTTTTTGACGTCCATGTATTTCTGTTAATGTCCCTAACTTTGTCTCAGGATTTCTATGGTCGCGTGAGCATCAAATCCACAGACCTCATTATTTGTGTGACCCCAGAGGTAGAAATCCAATCCAATGACCCCACACCAAACGTTAGTTCCAAATCTGGTCTGTAGACGTCTCTCTGTCACTCCGTAAGGATTTTAATTATATATATACAGGGTTATCCAAATTAAGTGTCCACCATTGGTAACTTTGTTATTAGTAAAAATACAAAGTTGTTTAAATTAGCAAACTAGTAGCATTTTTAACGCTGGTAAAAATGAGAAATAAAAAAAAACAATTGAGAGTCGTTATTTTGATTTTTTTCAGTAAAATAACATTTTTTTAAATGGAAACCCCTGTATATTATATTTTTTTCTGTTAAAGCATCAAATTTTAAACAAAAAAGTTCATAATGACTTTTCCGCTAAAGTCAAAAATAAAGTCAAAATAACGATAAATATTTTTAATTATTTGCAGTATTATAATATTAAGACGGCTATGAAAACAACATGGCGTTCGCGATTTGACAGCATTAAGATAAGCGACAAATTGTTAAACTGGACATACTCGCAACTAGAAGGCTTTGGAAAACAATGATAAAATCAAATAATGTCAAACATTAGTGTAAATACTTGTTTATAAGCTTTATTGTGTCATTAATTTAAAGAAAAATGTTCTCCCATGAAGAAAAGTGTGATATGTTAGAATGCTATTTAGTGTGCAGAAAATCCTCCTTGAGAGCAAGAGAATACTACAGTGAATTATATCCCGCTCGCATTCAACCGTATGAACGATATTTTCTGAGACTTTATCGAAAATTTAGGGGCAACGAAAATGTTTTTGCTAAAACAAGGGCAAAAAAAGAATTCATAATAAGCGAGGCCACGGAAATTGCAGTTATTGGATATTTTGAAGCTTATCGTGAGAATTCAATAGCAGATATTCTCAAGGACTCTAATTTCAGTTATGGTACTGTTCAAAGGATTTTAAAAAAATACAAATTTATTCCGTATAAGTACCGACCAGTTCAAACGCTTTTGGCAGGGGATCCAGAGAGAAGACTTGTTTTTTGCCATTGGTATCTTAGCTTCTGTCGCCAAAATGTAAATAACTTTCGTTACCTTTTATGGACAGATGAATCAAATTTTTCAAATTCTGGAATGTTTAATAGAAAAAACCACCATTATTGGTCAAGAGAAAATCTTTTGTTAGTACATCCAAGAGGCCCACAAGTCCGTTTCAGTTTCAACGTTTGGTGCGGTATAATTGGTTCAAAAATTGTTGGCCCGTTCTTTTATGAGGGAACCCTAACTGGTGAAAGATATGTGGAATTTATGTCAGAAATTCTGACTAATTTCTTAGACGAATTGGATCTTATAAGTAGACATCATCTGCATTTTCAGCAAGATGGCGCACCTGCCCACAACTCCAGAGGTACTTATCATTTTCTAAGTACTACTTTTAATGATCAGTGGATAGGAACAAATGGCCCAATACAGTGGCCTCCCAGATCACCAGATCTAAACCCACTTGATTACTTCTTGTGGGGTTACTTAAAGAACCAAATTTACAAGCGAAGGTACGATAACCTTGACGCGTTAAAGACTGCAGTTAGGGAAAAGATAACCCAGATAGATGGTAGGACCATACTTAAGACAGTTCGAGCAGTTGAAAAACGTGCCCAAAAATGTATTGAAGAACAAGGTGGTGTTTTCGAGCATCTTCTTTAAAAAAAATTGTTATTGTATTTTGTAAGATTATAAGTTGATGTTGAAAATAAAGTTTGTCGATACAATTTAATTGTTTCAGATTGGAGGCCATAACTTCAACAATTTGTAACCTAGGAGAAAAGTTATTGTAAGCTTTTTTGTATAAAATTTGATGCTTTAACAGAAAAAAATATAATATACAGGGGTTTCCATTTAAAAAAATGTTATTTTACTGAAAAAAATCAAAATAACGACTCTCAATTGTTTTTTTTTATTTCTCATTTTTACCAGCGTTAAAAATGCTACTAGTTTGCTAATTCAAACAACTTTGTATTTTCACTAATAACAAAGTTACTAATGGTGGACACTTAATTTGGATAACCCTGTATATATAGGTGAAAAATTAAAGCTTCCGCCTTTTGTTGGGTACTTCGACAAAATTTAAGCAAAGAGGACTCTTTATACTTTTTTTTAATTCTCTCTAGCTTTCAATGGACTTTGTCATCATCATCAGGAGCTGCAATTACAATGATAACAGTAGCAACAAAAGTGTAAAATGAATTTAAATTGAATCAACTTACAGTAGTATGTGAGGATGTTGCTAATTGTTGTTTTCGTATAGGATGAGGGAAACGTCCAGTAACATGGTGAGAGCTGGTTACATGGTACAATGGTTAAAATTATATAAAATATGACAAGACAAGTTAAAGACAGATTAAAAATTATTTAGAAAACAGAGCATTACGTCGTGAAGCCACTTGATGATTGCACAAAATGGTGGTCATGGAATAATGAGTGAGATGAACCTTTGACAGAAGGCCGAAGGTTGTCAATGTCTGTGTTGAAAGATGGAACGAATTGTGGGCGTGTGCCAAAACGTTGCCAAATCACTTCAGATGATGTGATTTTCAGAATGTTATGTAAGAAATTGTTAAACCGACCAGAGGCAGTTGAATAAACTATATTTTAATTAATGGGAATTTTAAATTAACAATTATTAATAAATCGTGAGAAGAGAATTATTAGATTTTGAGTGGAACGAAATTTGTTGGTGGAATCGGCCAAAACACAGATTATATTTAATTATATTTAATTTTTCACCTAACTGGTCTAGACGACAATGACCACGTCTCAAGTTATATATATATATATATATATATATATATATATATATATATATATGTATATATATCATCACACACGTAATGTTATGTATTATTTTTTTTATTTATATTTATTGTCTGAATAAAAAATTGATAACCCATTTTTTGTTCTTATTGTAAGAAGATTCTAACTTTGACCTTAAACAATTCAAAGTATTAAAATTATTTTTAATTTTAAATTTTCAAAACCTGTTGAAAATGGCCGGTATTCCCTACTCAAATGAAGAAAAGTTTGAGATGTTAGGGCTGTACTTGCAGTCATACAGAAACGCCGACATTACCTCAGCAAGGTACTTGGAGATGTACCCCAAATGACGGCAGTCTCATAAAACCCTATTTATAAAAATAGTAGTTAATTTAATAATAAAGCCTTCGAACAACCGAGAAGCGGATACAACTCTGAAAATGAAAATCGCGACAGAAACAATAGAGATTTTTTCGCGAGATCCCCTCCCTCTCAAAGTTTTGACAGTTTCAAATTACACCGGGAGTGGTTAGATGACGCATGTTGCGCAAAATGTTTGCTTTAAGCTCTTTGATAAACTTAGCTGCCTTGTTTGAATCTGTAATAAAAAGACCGATCGTTTTTTGTGCAATGCACCTATATAACAATAAAATCGGCATTTGCTATGACAAGTGCGGCTCACATACCTTCGATGACCTTCTCCCTCGTCATTTAAAATCAGGTGGACGCGTTCCTCCATTTATGATTTAATAATTTAACACTATTTTCGGCACTGCCAAGACAAATTTTCAATTGAGATGTCTAGTTTTTAAATGACATTGACATAAAACTTGTCACCCGCTAGTACCTCACAGACGTTAGGCGGGTACCCGTACCACGTGATTTTTTGACATTTGGATGACATCACATCCGTCTTCCCCTATTCCCGTTCTTCGCGAAAATTTGAGTATAGGTTCCCGGTAGTGCACTGTGCTACACCGTGGACTCGCGAAAAAATACTTATTTTATAAGCCTTCAACGAAATCCGTAGTGCATCAATAAGAACTACGAGTATATAACGAACGAGAAATTGGTGTGTAAAATCAACAGTACAGAGAGTGTTAAGTAAGAATAAGCACCATCCATACTGGGGTGCGTTTTTAAATCACTTGTCAATGTAAAACCGTACACTACACAGTAGGTAATGGCATGTAGATTGACAGATGCAATTTTACTCTGGAACACTGTGAAACTTTATTTTCAGAACGCCTAAATTACTGCAGTCATGTAATGACACTTGACGACAGCTCACTAATTTCTAACCACGTTTTCTGCAACCATTGTAATTATTATAAGAGACTCTAGGGATACACGGTAGCATTTGTCATGAAAAATGTATATATTCTGCCAATTTTGGTCAGTTTTTGATAGCCAAATAAAATAAACAATCAATCATGAGAATGGCAAGTGACAGAACTCATATTCCCAAGCTTTTGAGCTCAGGAAAAATCACACTTTTGACGTTCCAGAAGAATAATTCAAAGTACCTAATTATTACTTTGTTCTATTCCCGAACGCATGTAACAGGTACGTCAAACGCAACCCAGTATATTCACTGAATCAAAAATCAAATTCAAGCGGATAACCAAATGAAAATGGTATTTACCATTTTGGATTGGTATTTACCGATCCGTTCAAGCGAGTGTGGTTATCAGTTTGGTTATAAGATCCGTGACGTCATGAATCAGCTGTTATATGTCAATAGTTATCACCGTAAAATTGTGGTATTTACCCAACTCAGGAGTAGTTTTATGTTTCTGGTTATTATTTGAAATGTTAGAATTTTGCCGGGTATTGGATATTGTTATTGTACTTCAGCTTCATTTTTGGGTAACTTGATACAGGCTGACTTCAGTTTTACCATAAAGTGGAGCACCTTTTTAGTTATACTCATTACTGTTATTGGGGACACTTTAAATGTAGTTCCTATGCTTAACAAAGTATCCTGTGTAGCCATATACCATATACCACAAAAATATTATATGGCTATATAAACTCACTAGGTGATGTCCACCTGTATACAGTTTTGCTAATATCTTTATTCATCATTTCTGCTGAAACAATAAATATTTTCTTTGACATACGGAAAACTTTAGAGAATTGAAAGTTATCATAGCTACAAAGCCATGGTTCCATCATTAAAAAAAAATTCTGAAAAAAAAACATTTCTCCCATAAATATTAAACTTTCCATACACAGTTGTAGACGAAAAAGCACCGATTATTGAGTGATAATAAAAATAATCAGAGATTATATACGCGCTTTTCTAAAATAAACAACTTGCAACAAAACCGCGGTTAAAACCAACGCGTTCAAGCGATTCGTGTAACTGACGTCATCAACCCGTGTGTCATCTTGAACCATATTATAACCGCGGCACATAACACAGACATTTTGGTTATTCGCTTGGATTTGGTTAAAGCAGTTACATGTTACATCCATCACAACTTTAAATAATGACAGTAACGCACATGGTAGCCACAATAATTAAAACTACCAGATTCTAGAAAAATAAACAACAGTCGTTAGCTGACAAGCTTTGCGACAATGTCACAATACAGAAAACTGTTAACAACATAAATGTCACCGGGAAATTTAAACTATACATACAAATTTACGATCTATTTTACATTAAGATTGGCATTTAACTTTACTAAATATGACGTAACTGCTTTGTTTCAGTCAAAGGAGTATATAAACCTATAATAGATCAAGGACTTAAGGAACCTGATTTTCCAAGGCGAATGCGCTTCTGTGAGTGGTATACTAGGAAATCTGATGAAAATCCAGATTTTCTAAATCATGTCTTTTGGTCCGATGAGAGTAGGTTTACGAATTGTGGAGTTTTTAATAAGCACAACACTCATCATTGGGCTGTGTAAAATCCTCACGAAGTGGCAGACAGACGTCTACAGACCAGATTTGGAACTAACGCTTGGTGTGGGGTCGTTGGTAATTTAATCTACTCGTAACTTACCTTTTTTAATTGGGCGCCTATTTGAAATTAGGTACTAATCATTTCAGGAAATCGACTTATTTTGTTTGACTACAACCTAAACGGGCAGAGGTACCTAGAGCTTTTGTGAAACCAGATTGTGCCGGCTTTACGAGCTAGTTTAACCGAAGATGAGTTTAGAAGTACCTGGTTTCAACAGGATGGATGTCCAGCTCACAATACCATTCAAGTCAAGAACTTCTTAAGAGAGCAGTTTGATGAAAGAGTAATTTCATTAAATGATTCAATATCTTGGCCTCCTAGATCCCCTGACCTTTTCCTTAGATTTCTACCTCTGGGGTCACACAAAGAATGAGGTCTATGGAGTTGATCCTCACGCGACCATAGAAATCCTGAGACAAAGAATTTTGAGCATAGTTAGGAACATTAACAGAAATACACTAGCTAAGGTTGTACGAAAAACAGTCACCAATTGTCAAAAATGTCTGGATGCAAATGTATGTTATTTTGCAAGTCGGTAAATTAATACCCACTTACATAATTAGATTTTACATCACATTTTAATTTTGTAAAGTGTTTGTTCAAGTGTAAAATAAATTTACTACGATTTTTCTGACTTATTTTTTTAACACACTCATAGTTGAGAATTTGCCCCAAAACATTTGACTTGTTGAGAAGTCGATATTAACGTTAATATTCTATTCAACATTCAAGGCGTTTATGTGTTTTTATGCCTTACTCATTAATGTTATTTTCTGAAAAAATAGATCATGCCTCCTTAGAAAAAAGCTAATATATAACATTAAGTGTGATGATATTTCGTTGATACTCCAATATTTTATGCACTTGTGAGACATCACTAGACTGTAAATTTTACACTCGTTTCAAAAATCAAAAAATCCAATAAGGCGGCCATAAGAAAAATGAAAGTTCAGGCGGGTTGCTGGAAAACAAAAGACAATTGGGATATGTCATACATGCTATCTTATTTTTCTTTATTTTTTTTTTTTCGAATAATGTCAAAGAATTGACAGCTGTCAAATTAACCGTTTTGGATTTACTGGCGAAAAACAAATTACGCCATTTTCGTTTTTTCGCTGATATTTTCAAAACTAATTGACCGATCGTAAATCTGAAGCCGGCTATCGGAAGCTCTAAGTATCCTCTAAAACTGTCCCCATTTAACGTCTGCTGTAGGTATAATAGGAGCCGAGATCTCTGTATAGAGAAACGAACCTGTGACACAATGTATATGCAACTGCGACGACAGCGACCAGTATTGTGGCTGTCCACCTCATGAAAAAATGAAGTAAACAGAATTCAGTGTCGGAAATGGACCAGGGAGAGCGACCAGGATATGGATGTGCTCCATATGCTGGATAAAGAACTTCTAGTGGAGGATCCACAAACTTACAGGCATAATAATTATTGCTTCTCTAGTTATTCTGATTTAATCCAACGCAGCTTATTTGGCGTTTCTATTTTCATAGGGCTTGCTTTTTACAGCATATATATTATAATCAATCATATTTCTCGTACTTGTTTAGTAGTATGTCAAACTGCTCTTTTGACCATGACATCTTTTAAATTTTTCAATCTACAAGTTGAACAGCATAATCATTGAAGTTTCGCCAAACTGATGAACACATCTGATCACAACAACTGACGTTTGAGGGTAGGATTATTTTTGTCAACCAATTATTATGTTAAATCGCCATGAAACAACAAGAAAATATCAAGGAGTTAACACAAATCATGTAATTCCTTGTCAGATTAGCGCTTCCAGCAGCCATTGTACTGCTTCAAATGCACAGTAGGCGTCTCCTCCTTTCTGGCATGATATTATTTAGAACAGGTTCTAAAAAAATCAACACTCAAGTTGTTTCTACAAAATTATGCACTAAGTGCTGTCTGACACTATCCTTAGTTTTGTACGAAATTTAGCGTACTAAATTTGGCTCAAAAGTGGTTATATCTCGGATCTACTCAAGCACACCGTTACCAGATAGATAGGACAAAATTTCCACATAAAAAGCACAAAAAGCACTCAGAATTGCTACTTTTTAAAAAAATCCTCCAAGTTAATGGAGAGGTGCAAGTTTGGTTCAAAGAGCGGGGGATACTTTTTAACCGCGAAACGCATGATTTCCCCAAGAACATCAGATTACCAAAAAATCCCTCAAATTTTGGGGAAAGTCACCAACATGGCAACTGTGTCAAAGCACCACTGAAGGAATCTCCAAGGGTCAAGTTTTGGGGTCGTATAATGCGTAATTATAAATTCCCAAAGCGTAAAGTAGCCCTGCAGCAGCAGTAGCAATTTCGCCATCCATACTCGGCAAGAGCGCGAACTATACTGTGAAGCATTCGCGAACATCTGCGAGTGTGGAGTGTAGGAACAGATTTCGGGATTCGCATCGCGATCCGCGCCGCGATTTCACGCCCTGATCCGCGCGTGGATCTGGAGAGGGTATTAGTGGTATATGAATTTCGCTGTATATCTATTAAGATCTATACGCTCTATTCAGTGTTGCCGAACCTACCGATTATTTGGTATTTATACCCAAATGAGATTGTTTACCGAAAATGCTCTCATTTACCGCGATTTATTAAAATAATTGCCAGATTTTTTACCGAAACTGAGCTAGAACCAAAAATAAAGCGAAAAATTCAATGGCGAGTGTCTATGTAGTTTTATGTCCCATGCAAATCATACAGATGCGGTCACTTAGGGTCGGGCACACGAGCGACGTAAGATTTGGGTTGCCTATCATTATGTTCATCCCTTACTCCACATTCCCTAAATATTAAATTAAAGTTTCAGGGGATGAGGTTTCAAGCTTAGGGGTAAAACAGAAAAATATTCACATCTTGTAAACAAGAATGGGAAAGATGCTCTCGAAAAACTTGTGTTGTGTGTGCGCGTGTAATACATGAATATGCTTTTTCATAGACGGCGCTGCGTGACGAAAAGGCCCTGATCTTTCAACGGCCCTGATTTTGCCCTCGAATCTACCAAATTCCATCGACACTATCTATAGAGTTCGTATTTTTTCAGTTCGGCAACACTGGCTCTATTAGCAACGACGTCACATGTTGAGATGACAGGTGATGGCGGCTAATGAATTTCCTAACCTTTTGGCACTTGTCAAGAGGTTGTCATTCCTCAATTCTCAGCTGTTTATATGTCAAATAAATGTGTTTATATGTTTTGTGAGATAAATGATGAGGTTGATTTTATAAAGAAATTCTTAAGGTATCCAGTTATGGATATTGGATTTCACCAGTCTTATAACATTTCAATCTTAACTAAGTACGCAGACCGTGAGCTGTATCTGTTTTTATCCTGAAAGTTAGTTCTGGATTATGGTAAGTATCTACTCCATTAGTGTACCACATACCTTCAACACTGACACTTCCTACTGATTACGCCTAGAATGTTTTAATGCATTGATAACTTTGTAATTGTGCTGCTGAGTGACATAAAAATCTCTTCAGAAATTTTTGAATATCTTCAATCTGTAATTGTGTATATACTACACATACAGGGTGATTTGAAATTCGACCTATACCCTGAAAGTGGTGATTCTAGAGGTTATTTGTGATAAATTAATCCCCATCAACTGGGGATCGGAAATGAGCGATTTCCGAGATATCCGCATTTCAAGATTTTTTAAGTATTTTCTGCTTACTGATCAGTACAATTTTTTTTAAATCTACTCATTTCTTGGAACTGAATGGATGGTTTTCTGAGAGCTGTGAAACTAGCAAATAATTGAGATAAAAATGCTATACCAAAAGTTTGAAACTGTTAGAAATAAAAGGCTGTTAATGAAGAGATTTTCATTTTTGTTTATTATTTCTCAAAAATCAACATAAGTTATTTGAAATAAAATGTATGACAGTCGGCGTAAAAATTACAAAAATAATTACAGAATTTCATGAGTTTTCAAATTTAACTTTTTGAGGCATACCCTAAAAAAAACCGTACAAAGGGTACTGTAGGTACAACCAAATTTTAAATTGAATGAGCTTGGTAAAGCTTGAAATCTAATTAATTGAAGAAAAACAGGTAGTGTATAAATTAATGAAACAAACACAACGTTGGCACTTAAAAACTATAAATCTTGTTCAAATTGCATGTCATTGTTACGTATGCAAGCATGTAGCCTACGACATAGTTGGGTCACTGTCACTTTTGTTGAAAGAGTGTGTTTGATCTCGTCGGTGGCTGCCAAAATCCTCTGCCTCAAATCTTCAACGGATATTGTATACTAATTGTTTCATGTATCCCCAAATGTAAAAATCGCATGGCATCAAGTCCGGACTTCTCGCCGGTCCCGGCATTGGGCCTTCTCGACCGATCCATCTCTGCGGATACTTTTCATCCAGTCATTGTCGTATACCTCGAAAATAATGGGCTGGGCAGCCATCATGCTGGTATATCATACTGATTCTCCTAGCTAGCCGAACATCTAGTAATGCATCCAATCAATTTATTACTTATAATTCCCATCCAAACATTTAACAAGCATCTTCTCTGGTGCTTGCCTTCCTTGAACTGTTTTGGATTTTGCGCTTAGGGGCCGAATAGTGGGCACTGTAGTAATTTGTAATACCATCACAATCAAATTTCGATTCATCAGTCCAAAGGATATTTTTGAGGTAGTCTGGGTTTTCAATATCGGCATGAATTAAGAATCTACAAAAGTCAATCCGTGCAGGGTTGCCCTCCTCCCTAGAGTGCACAGGAGTGTAATGGTATGGATAAAGTTGCGCTGTATGAGCAATAAACGAGGATTTCCATTGGGATATGCCAAGCTGCCGAGCCACTTGACTAGTTGACACAGTGGGTCTGCTCGCAAACTCTCTAAAATTTCTTCTTCATCAGCATTATGGATAACAGGTCTGCCAGCGTCTATTTGTCATCGATGAACTGAGCCAGATTCTTGAATGCGTCGGTAAGTAGTACCAAACACGCTTATATCAGGTAAACGCCTTTGGTAATCACTTCGTGCTGCAGCAGAGTCACCATTACAAAACCCGAAACAATACATAATGTCGGCGTATTCTTTATTTTTGTAAGCAGCCATTACACATACAGACAATTTGCAGGAATGTTTAGTAAGATCACAACACGATACAACACGTCTGAATTCCAAAGATAGTTGGTACTAAGCGATAAACAAACTGCCGGTCATGACGCATCACAAACCTCATTGGTCACTCCGATGGGCACACCCGCTTACGGAGTTAAACGAGTCAGTTTGACACTTAGAAATACCATGCATTTTATTCCGAGAAAGCTGTTTTGTCCAAATTGGATTTACGAAATCTACTACCTCTAATCGATGGCTGCTGTTTTTGTTTTCAAATGCTTGAAATAGTTAATAAGATTTGTATGGTTTTGGAAAGCTCATGAAATTTTGCAATTATTTCAGTAATATGTATGCCGAATATCATACATTTTATTTCAAATAACTTATGATGATTTTCGGAAATAATAAACAGAAATCAAAATCTCTTCACTAACAGCCTTTTATTTCTAACAGTTTCAAACTTTTGGTATAGCGTTCTTATCTCAATTATTTGCTAGTTTCACAGCATTCAGAAAACCATCAATTCAGTTCGAAGAAATGAGTAGATTTTCTTAAAAAAAAATGTATTGATCAGTAAGCAGAAAAGTCTTAATAAATCTTGAAATGCCGATATCTCGGAAACCGCTCATTTCCGACCCCCAGTTGATGGGAATTAATTTATCACAAATAATCTCTAGAATCACCACTTTCAGGGAATAGGTCGAATTCCCAATCACCCTGTATAAGCCTATGTTGCCTGCTGAATTTGCTGATGTATAAATATAAAGCTGGATATTATTATTAAGGCTGAAAATACTGATTTATAGCAAAACATTGGCTTGGCATTTTGATCAGCAGTAGATCCATGGGGGGGGGGGGGGGAGGGAGTTGTCTCACTGAACAAACGACATATTCTGCTAGATGTCTAATGAAACCACTGAAGGGGAAGTTTACTAACGTCTGGCGACTTCATTGGCTTTTTTGAAATTCATATGTTACTTTGAAAACTAACTCAAGACATATATCTTTCAACATGCTTTTTTTTACTGAAAGATGTTGAAACACAAAATCAAAAAGTGACATGTTGATAATTTAGAGTGTAATTTTCAATAAGTAATCCTCCTAGCTGATAATGAGTGCCTGGTATGAGGCTCTCCATATATGCATGATGAACGCGTAGAAGAACGCGGTAGTCAGGATATACTGCCGGTTGTGGTCCACCTTTTCTAACCGCATACTCTTGATTCATACGAGCAGCTGCTCGATCATTTCCTAGGGCAGCACCATAATACTAATGCATTTCTGCATAATCTCGAGGAGAATATGACATGATTCTACTCAGATGCCAAACGTTAGATACAAATTCCGCGCTGGACCATTGCCTGCCTTAGTAATTTCGGTCGAACTGAAGATTTAACGCTCCTGAACCTGGAATGCTGAGTTGAATGCCCAAGCTCATTAAGCTGATTTGGTTATTTGTGTAAAAATCCGCCATTTTGATTTTACAAAATGTAAATACACACAGTATCACTCGCTCTGCTAAGACGAATCTAACTATCTCATATATCAAAATACATCAAGTCATTTGGACTGTAGCTCGTAAAATATAATTTCTAGTTTATAAATATGTATAGATACCCACCTGCGTCAAACATACAGACACTTATCGTAGCAAGCTGACATATTCAGGGTTTATTTTGCATGGATTGAAATAGTTTTTACAATAAAATGAATAATGAAATACAACCTTAATTTATTTTACCGCCCTGCAAAGTTGGAGGATGGAACAGATTTTTCACAAAAAAATGAATTTAATATTTTTTGAGTTGATTTCTGATTAGCTCTATTAAAAAGTGACAACCATTTCTAAAACTAACCATTTAGCTCATCTCAAAAAAAAATATCACAGCCCTAAGCCTAATGGTTTAGCTGTAATTGCGCGAATGAAAGTTCATAATCCCGTTTTTCTCGACATTTCACGAAATTGTAAATATCTCCTGAACTGTCAAATTTCGGACCACACATATAGGGGTTCATTCGATGGGTTTTGAGATCCTCTATCACCTGACTTCCATTGATCCACTACTATCTTCACACCCTGTACATATATATGTATATATATAGGATTCATAGTTATTGTCAAAATAACCAGTTATATGGAAGACTTTTCTTTGGGATATCGACAAATTATGCTAAGTGTTTATCATATATTGCCTGTACACAGTTTCCCTTGAAACTTAACGAGAGAGAAATTGTGTAGTATATGAAATTTGAATACGCGTGTCTGCTTCTGCTCTCTGGGTTCACCGGCGGACGTGCCGGTCTTGATGTGTGTCCTGTGACTGAAGTACCGGTAATTGTATGTGCTTGTTTGATTAACTTGATGTTTCTTTGATATACATGTTCGTAACTAACTTTTTTCTCAGAGGATCTGCTTGTGCTGAACATAGTAACTCTGGGTAACTCAGATCACGGTGTTGTGGAGGTTAGGTTTCGGTCAGAAGCCGCTGTGGCAGCAGAAACTCGCACAGGCCGCAAAACTTGGCATTACGGACATGCCGACTGGGAGGGGCTCAGAGACTTCTTCTCTAGCTTTCCTTGGAGAGATGTCTGTTTCACTGACGTGGATGCGTCGACTGTCTGTTCTTCAATAACCGAAATAATCCACGTCGGAATGGAGGAATATATCCCTCACACAGTGAAAGTTCCTAACCAGGGTCCAACGGCTGGTTCAACAAATCGTGTGACACAGCTCGCCAGCAGAAGATCAAGGCCCACAGAACCTACTTACAAAACCCTACTGTAGAGAACAGACAAGCCGACGTCGAGTCCAGAAACAAATATAACGAAGCGGTTCGCAATGCAAAAAACCAGCATGATATAAAAGTTAGGCACAGGGTATTGTCGCAGCGCAATGGCAGTCGGTCTTTCTGGACGCTGGCCAAGCAGATTGAAAAGAACTTCTCACACAGTAGCCTTCCACCACTTACGTGTCAGGATGGAACTATTGTATTCGACCCAAAGGCCAAGGTGGAAGTGCTAGCCAAGATCTTTGCTGCCAACTCCACCATGGACGTCCCCACCAACGCCCAAGTGCCGTCAATTCAAAGGGTTCCCCACACTATGCGGGAGGTAACATTCAGGCATAAGACCGTAAGACGAGTGCTCTTGTCGCTCGACATCAACAAAGCTTCTGGTCCGGACTTGATTCCTGCCATTGTACTGAAGAGATGTGCAGCGGAGCTTGCTCCAGTTCTTTCACGTCTCTTCCAGATATCTTATGAATCCGGCACCTTCCCAGAAAACTGGAAATTTGCTCATGTACAGCCCATCCCAAAAAAAAGGATCTAAAACCGACCCTTACAACTACAGGCCTATAGCTCTGCTTTCTGTTATAAGTAAAGTGATGGAGAGGTGCATAAATCGCGAGCTTCTGGACTACCTCGAACGTCACAGCTTGATTAGCGACAGGCAGTACGGTTTCCGGCACCAACGATCCACAGGGGACCTCCTAGCTTACGTCACGCAACTGTGGAGTAAACTCATCCAGTCTCATGGTGAGGCTCGTGTCGTTGCTCTTGACATCACGAAAGCGTTCGATCAGCTGTGGCACGCTGCCCTCTTAAGCAAACTTCCATCCTACGGCCTCCCAGAAAAGCTTTGCAGATGGGTGGCTGACTTTATCTCTGGCCGCAAGATATCCGTCGTAATTGACGGATTCTCCTCTTCATCCCACAACGTCAACGCGGGTGTTCCCCAGGGATCGGTCTTGGCTCCAACACTGTTTCTCTTACATATCAACGACCTCCTTTCCTGCACGATCAACCCAATCCACAGCTTCGCTGATGACAGCACTCTACATGCAGGAATTCAGAGTGACAAGCCGATCTCTGCCGCTGAGCTGGAAAAAAGAAGACTAGCGACGACTTCTTCTCTGACAAGAGACCTGGAGGCTATCACTGCTTGGGGACGCAACAGTCTTGTACAGTTCAATGCTTCCAAAACACAGTACTGTACTTTGACGAACAAAAAGCGTCCTAGCGCTCATACAGTTTCGATGGACGGTCGAGTTCTACCAAAGAGCCATTCATTTCGGCTGGTCGGAGTCCAGATCACCGAGGACCTGATCTGGCACGAACACATCTCTTCAATAGCTGCAGCTGCTGGGAAAAAGCTAGGCTATTTGTTTAGGGCTAAGAAGTACTTTTCTCCGCATGACCTTCTCACTCTATACAAGGCCCAGATAAGGCCTAGCCTCGAGTATTGCTCACACATTTGGGGTGCTGCCGCCCCGACTACATTGTCCATGCTCGATGCTGTCCAGAGGAGGGCGGTCCGACTGATCGATGACTCTTCCCTAACAGACAGTCTCGGGACTCTTTCGCACCGGCGGGCCGTCGGCGATCTAGCTCTTTTCTATCGCTACACCAACGGGCTTTGCTCCTCAGAGCTCTCTTCCATGATGCCGCCGCGCGATGTGCCTGCCAGACAGACTCGCCTGACTTCGGCGTCCCATCCTAACCGTGTCAAACTTCGTACATCCAGAACTGGCCGATACGACCGCTCCTTTGTCCCGAGGGTGTCTAGATTGTGGAACAATCTACGGGAGGAATCTTTTCCCAGTTCTACTAACCTTAGGCAGTTCAAAAATCGTATTAACAAAATTTCTTTGGGATCATCATAGCAGCCGCGGTGTTCCGGCATTTAGGCTTCTGCCTGCGCGGCTGTTTCGATATAAAAAAATAAAAAAAAAAATAGTTTTTAATGAACTGATAACGGTGTTGCGTGGGAAGTTCATAATCAACCTACTCGACTCTATTTTTTATATAACTTTTGTTTTATAGGATGTGAAACCTGGTATTCCAATTGACCGAGAAAATGAGGAGACATTGCCTAATGCAGAGGTAAAATTTCAAATAAATATCTAAAACATTCTGTTTGCTTTCTGTTGTCTGTCTCCAAGACAAATACAGTTAGTCACAGAGAAGGAAAACAAACATCTATCCTGTGTTTATGCCACCTTTGAGTAGTACTCCACTGCTGATAGCACGGTGGACCCTTAGTATCGCTTCTGATTGATAGGTTGTCTATGGTGATTGGCGATAGTTTGCGCTCGTTGAGCAGACTGTCAGATTTGCCGCATGGCTATTATGTAAAAAACGTCAAAAAACCCGACAAAATGTCATCTTGCAGACTAGGTAGTTTTTAACGGGCAAATAGTTCATTCCACGTTTGCTTGCTATGATCGTTGTTCGCTGACGTTTAAGCAACACGTACAGCTACAAAACGAGATCACAAGTGTACAACAGCTTGTGCTAAACCGACGAAATGTCACTTTTTAAGATACGTAAAAAAACTATATTCCACCTGTTCTGATATGAAGATATTCAAATTTCTTTAACAGCCTACACACGTAAGGTTTTAACGTACTGCTTATAGAACCGTAGGTAGTATCAAAAATCGAACCGCTTGCAGTACCGCAATTTTCCCTACACACAGTGCAATGCAATGCATTTATAGTTGCGATTTTATTGATTGAAAAAGATGATGAGAAACCAGCGGAAATGAGAAAATATTGATATTTCCATTCTGCCTATTTCACTTTCTGCAGTAAATAGTAATAGCTCGTAGTACCAAAGAGAAGGCTCGTAAAGGGCATCAGCACCGGATCCTGTACGTTTAGAGTCCTCAACCTAAAACAAAATAGCTTTGCTAATTTACAAAATATTGTTAAGGAAATATCGAAAAGCAAACACTTTTAAAATAAAAATAATTATAAATGTATCTCACCTTCTCCATTTCACGTCTAGAAGATGTTTTTTTTGTAAATGTGTTAATGTTTTTGCACGTTTCATTGTAAACAGAAACTTTTATTTTTTTGCTCGATGACTGATTTGTAAATGTTCAAATGAGTATTCCTGGCATCTCTGCTAGTGGGTGTTTCAATTTCAACTCTCACCATAGGGACTTCGAAGACGGTAAGAGATACGAAGTCAGTTAAGTGGGAGCAAAGTTGTGCGTTCTGAATACTGCCGGAGATACACTAAAGAAAACGAATTTTCCCTAAATCATTTTTATTTTTTGCTAGCTTTATTTGAGATGGGATTTCAAAATAGAAAGTACTCGTAGATTAACATCGCGATTTTTTTCCTCTAGAAGAAGGCATAATTAAAATTTATTTTGATATGACGTTTCGGCTCTTGACCTCAAGTTATCTACTTTATTTTTTCCTGTAGACGCCCTATGAGGTCTTTTCACATGTGAATAGAATTCAAAGAATGTATATGTAATACATTGACATTGTCAAACTTAAGTTATTCCGAAAAAAACTAATATTTTCTTAGTTGGCTAAAATAGTGATGTTTATCCAACTAAATTACCAGTGCTTCAATTTCTGAGAAGGGTGTTCAACGGATATTATAATTTTTTCATTAATCGACTATAACAAGCATTATTTTAGCAAGATGAAGGCGCTATATGTGACACGTCAGACGTAGATTAGGCCTCCTTAGGAAATTCTGTTTTTTAATAATCAAGGTTTGGCAGTATTAATGTATGGCATAATATACATTTTAAATATCAGAAAACTATTCACCTGTGCAAAACTCCAATATGGCGTCTATAAAAATAAAGTTGATAATTGATGACAAGAGACGAAACGTCAGATTCAAATTCTAATTATGCCACTATGTAGAGGAGAAAAAGTGGCAATGTTAATATACGTTTTATTTTGTAAACCCATCTCAATCTGAGAGAAATTCTCTTAGTTCAACTAAATACACCCTTCCTTTTATGTGTAGATATTAACCGACCCGTATCTCTTACCGTATCCGAGATCCGAGAGCCGAATTTGAAACAGCCGATATATATATAGTAATAAAACTAATAATGAATCGTCTATATTTATGGCGAAGTTCAGCTTATAGCTATTCTACCACTTAATATTATATAAATATTATATAATTCTACCTATTATATCAAAATTGTTTTAAAAAGACCTGCATAGTTTGGCTCATAATTTAGAGCGATTAGGTGTGATGATTGTCTTTAAATTTGTTGTTTAAAAAGGATTTTCTTAACTTGTAACTGAATTTGATTTCTTGATTTTTTAGGAAGACGTAGAAGATGCTCTATCATCATTCAGAGAAAAATGGCAGAAAGAGCTACGAATATCACCCGTAAAGCAAGAATCTACCACAGACGTAAACCACTCTGAATGTCAAGACGAAAACTGCGAGAGTATAGCAAGAGAATTATTTTTGAAGGGTGTTGAGATGGAAAGATGTGGTAAACTTTATGAAGCCATACAATATTATAAGAGAGCTGTGCAACTTGTGCCTGATATAGAATTCAAGTTAGAAAACACTACAAAGCCTAAACTGAGAGAAAGACAATACAGTGAGAGTGATGTAAATGGTATGTTCAATTTTCACTAACATGTCCACTTAACACAGTTACTGGCCACGTGTAAACGCAGTTGAGTGGACTTGACAGTATTACCTAGCCGGCAAAATAATGCAAGAGGGCGAATGGTGAGGGGTATCTCAGAAATGAGTAGAAGTGTCTGTATCATCTGATCAACTTGATGATGATTTGCTCATGTAAGGTATTTAATCCCACCTCCTGATAACCCTTCGATCTGCTTTAACTATTCAGGTACCGCCTACTGTAAGGTGTTCAAACGAGACGGCGATGGTTTCTTGTTTTTATAAATGGCCATAGACAAAGTAACCAGTTCTAGCTGGCAAGAATGACTTGGGAGCTAGCGCAAGGTTTTTAAACTAACCTGCGTAGTTCCAATTCACGTCATCAGTTCTTCACTTCTCACCTACAGAGCTCTTCCAAAATGAGGCCTGACACATTTGCTCTGTTTCATAAACGGTGCAGGGATAGACAATATATGACAATTGAGATTTAACATATCGGCTCCCAGGGGGGCTACATTTGCTTCAAAACCACAACGAAATTAGACAAGTGATAGTTCTTAAATAAGAGATCAATGAGAGTGTTCCGCTAATTAAGTTGATCAGTTTATATTTCAAAGTACAGGTTCTCGAGGATGCAGCCGCAACGTAACAAAGGCCAGAAAGAAATATTGTTCTTTGTTCATGTCGAGCTTTCGAAATTTATTTTATTCTTCAGGACCATACTACAAAGAATATTTGATTTGCACTCTCGCTAGGCAGATAATGCCCTATTCTGTTCTTTGTAGATGGTGCAGACGAGGCATTAAATGATTCTGAAGATGAAGAAGTTGGTGAAGGAGAGCTTTTGTCTTTTATACAGAAGAGGGTTCCTAGAGGTTCACCTTTGTGTTTTCCAAAATATGAGCAAAAAGTAAGTTGCTTTAATATACAAAACACTTGAAATTATCTCAGTGTCAAACATATAATCTTCTGTTTATTAAAAACTATTTTATTATACAGTATTGTTGGAAAGTTACTATGGAATCATTTCCTGGTTCCGCGACATTTTCTAGAGATGTGTATTGTGCAATTCACATTTTCTATAAATAGTATTATATCCCGTGTTTCACTAGGCCTTTAAATGAAACTACATAAATGTATAGAGAAAAGATAGACCAATGTTTGGGCTACACTTTTTCAAAGTACAACATAATGGAGATTGAATGTTTCCTCTATATCTGTGGTTTTATTTAACGGCCAGTAGATAAATCAGACACAGGGTGGGTATGTTTTAGGAGTTTCTTAACTATGGTGTTTAGAACTAAGAACATTTGTCATATTATTTACATTTAGTCGATCTAGAGCAAGAATGAACTGAAATACATTTATCGAATCGAGCATAATACATTTTTGTGGGAATACCATTTTATGTATCTTCTAGACTATCCATATTGGTCTGTTACCTGTTGAAGTGATGCTGTATATAACACGCTGGATAGTCTCAAGTGATTTGGATTTAAGATCATTGGAGATGTTTGGAGCTACTTGTAGGGGATTTTATTTGTGTGCTCGAGATCCAGAAGTGTGGCATTTGGCATGTTTGAGGTATGGCCGCAATATGAGAACTCATTTCATCTCTGTTGATAAGTAATGAGACTGGCTGGCGTGTGACGTACTAGTCTCTTGCTCTGTAGTATTCGGCGGACGAGGATTTAAATTAACAACAGAACCTCTCCGCAATCACATTGGCGCTCCGATGAAGTGACGGTGGAGCTCCACATAAGAGTTGCTTACAAACTCTTGACGCTCCTGAAAACGGCGAATATGGAATGTTAGTGCAGCGAACGCAAATATTGTTTTCGCATGGACAAAAGTGATACGGGAACGTTTGCCTTGATCACTCACGGGAAAGGTCCACTTTTTCCTGTTCATCGGTGAGAAGTGAGTACTCTGAAACCAACTACGCCCACACATTCTTCGGGCCCAAATTTAACAATTTTGTCAACCGTAAATAGCTGAAATGACCGATTTTGCTCCTACTGGGCGCGCCTGTGTGGCTGAGGGTCAAGCTGTCAAACGTAGATGGGGAAAAGACAGGTTTGATATGAAAGTGATAGAAAAAGACATATTTGATAGATGCTCAGGCAAAAGCAAAATTTGATTGCGTATCGCTGCCATAGCATGAGTTCCATCTTCGACGTTTTCACAAATATCAGTAATATAAGCGATGTCCAATTTTGATACAAATACCGGCAGTAGTGTGGTTGAAAGCTAAACTGTCAAACAATTCCGCGCTTGACAAGCTGTTTATAACCTTACTGACGCATCGTCAGTCGTTCCTACAATATTGTAGGACGCCATTATAGCCGCCTGCTTGATTTTCATAGTATTTTCTCTCCTTCAGAAGGTCTGGGATATTTCTAGACTTCTACTATTCCATGTCAGCATCTGCGCATGAACAAATTGATGCAAATAGGTATTTGTAACATAACCTCAAAGTAGAGTGCTGACACGTATCAGTAGAAAACTATGAAAATCAGGGAGGGCATAAAGGAGTCGTACAATCGTAAAATTGAGTTAGTAACACCAGCTAGTACAAAAAAGTATGTTTTCAAGACCGCCAAAAAAGTTTCTGCAAAAACGACATAAATGTTAAGATTTGAGTGGTCACAATTTCGAGGTTTCCGCAAAAAGCACATACCACCTTGATCAAAAAGTTCCCGGAATGGTCGCCGTGTGGCGCTCGTGGCACTCGGCTGTCAATTCTGTTTGTTTTGTTATGGTGCTCAACTGTCACTGATATTCCCTCCGAATTTTGGCGTCATTTCATTATCAGTTGCCAAAGCTACGTGTAGATGAGTACATGTGCCTTTGAGCATGTTCACGATTTATTAGGGTTTTTAAAATGGATCCGAACGAACAACAACGCGTTTGCATTAAATTTTCTGTTAAAAACAATATCAACGGTACGCAAATCTTGGAAATGTTAGGAAATGCATCGTCAACGATGTTTTGAAGATAACAGCCGTTTGTGAGTGGCACAAACGGTCGTGAGTCCAAATGTTGGCCAACAACAGCAAATTAACTATCAGAGAGATTGCAGAGGACTTAAGCATTGCTTATGGATCCGTTCCAAGCATTTTGATCAACGATTTGGGTCTCCGTTATGTTGCAGCCAAAAGGCTTGAATTTCATGTTGATATCGCAAAAGACATGACTTCCATAGCTGATTCTGACCCAACATTTATCAAACGCATCATTACTGGAGACAAGAGTACGACACGCAGTCAAGACATCAGGCGAGTGAATGGTGCGCGGTGGATGAGCCGAGACCGAAGTAACTGGGTCGTTTCCAGTCGAAAAAGAAGGAAATGCTCACGGTTTTCAACACGAATACCATTCAACATCCACCCAATTCAGGTGATTTGGCCTCCTGTGATTTCGTCTTGTTCAAACGAATCAAAAATCCACTGAGATGAGCCCGTTTTAGCAGCCGAGAGGAGATAACGGAAAACTCGAAGATGGCCCTAATAGAGATACCTCACATCGAGTTTAAAAAATGTTTCGAGGACTGGATCAAGCGTTGGCGTAAGTGCATTGCAGTCAATGGGGACTACTTTGAAGGGGACAGTATCGATTTTGAACAATAAACTTGTCTATTTTTTAATAAATTCCGGGAACTTTTTGATCAAAGTGGTATATTTCCCCTGCTGTACCAAATACCGCACAAGTTCGCGACAGGATAGGACATGTGTGCTTTTTGCCGGAATGAAACCCAGCCCATTTAATTTGGTGAAAGTGAAGCAATACGACTTCTTTGAAATAAAATAACATTAAAAACATCAGGACTATGAGAATTACTAGCCAAACATCCACACTATTTTCAAAGGATACCTATAACGGATAATTTCGAAGCAGTATCGTTGCTCAAGCCAATTTACCTTGCACTATCCAACTTGGAAGACAGTACTACAATAAACTACAACCAGTTGCTTCAAATAAAGCAGAAAATTTAAAATTGCTGTCACCGTTACTGTGCTTCGTATCTAAAAAAGAGTTCTGCGAACGTGTCCTTGATGATAATACACTCCGACATTGAACAAACGACAATAGCAGTGGATACAAAGATTAAGTTATTGTTTATTATTATTAATCCGTTATAATATAATCATTTCGTTCTTTTTTGAAATAAAGGAAATATTTTTCGAAATTCGTTTTTTGTTCTTACAAAAACAACTTATGTCCAACAGTTTTAATGGTTTTTATTTGATTACTTAAGCACACATATTTTTTTTAGCGAATATCATATTTTTTTAGCTATTAATAGTAATTAACAAAAAAGTATTCAAGAAAATTATTAATGAAATAAATCGTTTTTTCTGTTTCCTGAAAATTTTGTATTTTGGACATATGTATGTTGTTTTTGTAAAATACGCCTCAATTGTAAGAACGACTCACGATACGGCCCGTAGATATGATCGCCAACCTATACGAGTATCCATTACGTTTTGACGTGTACGTGGGAACCTATCCATCGTAGAGGCTTGAGGCAAAAAAAGTTCTTACTATAACGGCCGAGAAAAAGGCCTGGAATATATTTTCAAGTTTTTGAAATGGCCGCTAGGAGGCGTATCTGCAAGCTTGAATCTAAAAAAGTGCTGTTTCTGTGAATTCCGCTATATTAACCTAACAAAAAATACATGATCTTCAAGGTCGAGGGTAATGTGAACTTTTTTGTTTGATTATTTTTGCTGTATCTCTAGAAATAAAATAAAGAGGTGGAGGGAGTATTCAACGGTTTCCGTAAAAAGCACCCTGAATCTTCGAAACGGCTGAGCCTATTTTAACAAACTTGGGCTAGTTGAAAAGAGTTATTCTTGGCCTGCGAATGTTGAAGTTTCGTAAGGTTCACATGTGGCCGCCAGAGGGCTTTTTTAGACATTCCGACAGAAATGGATAATTTTCTCAATAAAATTAAATGCATTGGTATGATTTTCTTTATGAAAAAGTAGCTAGATGATGTCTAAACAAGCTCTCTAAAACCGCATTTCGATATCTTGTTCCTAACCTAAAATTTAGACCAAAGAAAATTTTAAAAGGAAATCCCAATATTGTAGGATGCCATGATGGCCGCCTCCTTGATTTTCATAGTCTTTTCTCTCCTTAAGAAATTTCAGGTTTATATAACAGATAATATAAATCAAAATCATAAACAATTTGATGCAGGTATTTGTAACATAACCTCAAAGTAGAGCGCTGACACGTAACAGTAAAAAACTATGAAGATCAAGGAGGCCATAAAGGCGTCGTACAACTGTAGGAACTATTGACGATACGGCCCTCGGATATGATCGCCAACCTATACGAGTATCCATTACGTTTTGACGTCTGGGGAGGTGAACAGCTGATCAGCAAATGACATCTTTGTAATAAGTCTGTAACGTCGGCAATAATGAATCGGGTGTAAATCTGGTAAAAGTTGGGACCGTATTCAGAGCTGTTGTGCACATATCTAGATACTTTTAGTGATTTTGAATTTTGACAATAAAATATTCGATGTATACATAGAAAAATGTTTATTAGAAAATTATTATAATACCTTACGAGTAGAACAGACTGTGTTGTCATTTCTTTTAGCTGTAATTTTATAAGTCAAAATGATATAGACATGTGTTTCTGGTTAATTGTCCGGCATCAATGTAACGTAACTCAAATATGGCTGTTTAATTGCACTTTAAAATCATATGGTGTTTCAATTTCTAAAAAGCAGAGATGATTAACAAAGTCAAAAACTGTTTATAGTTGTAGTCACCGTTCTTGGCGGTTACGTCATCAACGCCATATGAAATTAGTAAACAGATCGAGTCTCCGTACCAGGGGCGGAACACTGCACAGACTAATCTTCTGCTACTCTCTCCAATACGCATGAAGTGGGTAACAGGGGACCGCTGTTTTCATTCTCTTCCTGGAAATTTTCTAATACATTTAGCACGAGCTGTCGGCCTTCTCCATTGATCGTATTTCCGGGCATTGTATTATTTTATATTGAGGATTGATAACGGGACAACTCAAATTGCACGCCGATGTTGAGTAAGTTGTCATTCTGACAAATATGATTGAAGGGCACTCATACGTAACGACAAAGTTTTGGAGACGGAGACACACAACCAAAAAACGTATGTCTTTGAGCTTACCGAACAAACGTTCACACACAGGGGTAGGTTGAATGTGTATGTATAAGGGAGATGGAGGTATATAAAGGGGTTCTGGTAGTCTTTGACCCGCCAAGAACGGTTACTACAACTATATCTCATTTTATTCGTACCTGATTTAAAATGTAGTCGCGATATTAGCAGCAATTTTTCTTGTAGCATGTTTTTGGTATGCAAAGGAACTTTTCTAAATAAAGGGGTTCTTAGCAAGTACAAAATGAATATGTAGCGTACAAAAAAAACCAACCAAATTCGGCTCTGTCTACATAGCGTTGACGGATCCATTAGAATTGGGTGTCGCTTGTCGGGAATTTTGAAATATTACTAGCTAATCAGCTGTTATTTTACCGTAATGGATACTCGTTAAAATGACAGTAGCCCGACCTGCTTGTAGATTTAAAAGTTACCCCCAATCGACAAACAACTTTTACGCAAATTAGGACCGTCGCTAAGTCAGAGCTTCAATGCAACTGAGGAAAGGTTCATTTATTGGCAGTTGCGTAGCTTGCTTCTGAAAGGGCCCAAAATTTGTCCGAGGAAATAAAGGGAAAACCCGAGGTAAATATTTTTCATAAATTGGAATAAGTAGTTAGGTATTTAGTATTGCTTTGTGCAGCTAAGGTTCCAAGATAACAAATTTAGATACCCTTTTCTTGTCCTTTAATGCCCCACGCATAAGAGGGGAAGGTACTGTTTCCGCAAACATGTTAGGATTTCATGTAGGTTTTTGTGATTTGCGATGACTACAACTGGTAAATCCATGTCACTTATTTGGATCGGTCGGTCTGTGTTAGATCATTTCCAAAGTTTTTGTATTTTTTACAACCTTCTGAAACTTGTTGAGAGTAATCGAATTGAGAGGTTACAATTTAAAAAGAGGAATATTTGCTTTCGTAGTTTCTGAAGACTCCATGGTAGACCCGACTTAAAAACATTTGACATATGGAGCTCAAAAATGTCGATTCTTCAGTAAGGCTTATTTTTGTCTCGTGGAAAATAGTGAATGCGAAGTATCGAGTCTATCTAGTTGGCACTTTTTTAAAAACTTTTTTTATTAAGTCATGTATAGCTGAAGACAATTTTAGTGTTTCAAGATTTTCTTCCTCTAAATCATTTTTCATGTCAAAAAAGAGGGTGTCCAGTATCGTTGATAAGGCTACGCCTCTATTCGTTGGCTTAATAACCCCCAATACAATTCTAATCCCTGTATAGGGTACTCAACTAAGAATGCGAGGTACTGTATCTGAGAACCTATACATTGAGGATTATTTTTGTTTTGATTAGGTATTTGTTTTGTTGCATTCCATGGCCTGCTTCTCTTGCCTTTTTGGTATATACCCAAAGTAAATATGCCTTGTGTTATTAGTTTTACTTACTTACCGTTTATCAATATTTTGTAATATTTTCAAATGGGGTGATTTTATTCTGATGTATAAAAAATAATTCCAACATATTATTTTGAAAAAATAAAAATTTAAGGGATTTCCTTCTAAAATTTTCTTTGGTCTAAATTTCAGGTTAGGAACAAGATATCGAGATGCGGTTTTTGCGAGCTGGTTTAGACATCATTTAGCTACTTTTTCATAAAGAAAATCATATCAGTGCAGTTAATTTTATTGAGAAAATTATCCATTTCTGCCGGAACGTCTAAAAAAGCCCTCTAGCGGCCACATTTGAAGCTCACAAAATTTCAACATTTGTCGCCCAAGAATAACTTTTTTCAACTAGCCCAAGTTTGTTAAAATAGGCTCAGCCGTTTCGAAGATTCAGGGTGCTTTTTACGGAGACCGTTGAATACTCCCCCCACCACTTTATTTATTTTTAGAGATACAGCAAAAATTATGAAAACAAAAAAGTTCACATTATCCTTTACCTTGAAGATCATGTATTTTTTTGTTATGTTAGTATAACGGAATTCACAGAAACATCACTTTTTTAGATTCAAGATTGCAGTTACGCTCCCTAGCGGCCATTTCAGATACTTCAAAAATATTTTCCAGATCTTTATCTCGGCCGTTATAGTAAGAACTTCTTTGCCTCAAGCCTCTACGATGGATAGGTTCCCAGATAAAGTACCTCGCATTCTTAGTTGGCCACCCTGTACGCTGCATTACAAGCGATCGTGGCTATAGTACAACGGCCAGTCTTATCACTTACCAAATGCACCGAGCATATATGTATGTACAGAAAACAGGTTAAGTTAGGTGTTAGAACGCCGATACCAGAAGATATGCGTCGCTGTGTGGTTAAACTAGGGTGCAGCTCAATTATCAAAAGTTCAAAAATCATCCGCTGTGTGGTTAAACTAGGGTGCAGCTCAATTATCAAAAGTTCAAAAATCATCCGGTAACATGTTGCGTATACGCGCTTTTAACGCGGAGAACGAGCGTATTTATGCTAAATGCTAATGATATGTTGGGATCCTCGCTACGATTACGACGTTTGGATACCGAATACGATGACGCTATGACTAGATATCATGCCAGATTTAAAGCAACCGTTATCAAAAAAGCATAAACCTGCATTCTATAAAATACAGCATCAGAAAAATGGAAAATCATGTCGACAAACCAGTTTGAGCTAGGTACCGCATGTTTCTGACATGAACTATGTTAGTATCTCCAGCGCATAAAAAATGATCTGTACAGAAAACAAAAGTGGAAAGTTGGAATGAATATTTTCTTTTTGAAATATGTGAAAGAAATGCAGCGATTTCACTATTAAGGATAATGTTTTCGGGTAGAACGGATTTGTAAATTTTTAATAAATTCGAAACTGCATTTTTTTATTCTGAAGAGATCACAATAGATTGCATTGGATAAGCTGAGTACGCTGACCGAGTTTCAAAAAAAGAAAAAGGTGGTTGAAATGTTGTGGGGCTATAAAGACGCCTAAAATCGATAAACCACCCTTTATCTCGGTTATAAGAGGCTAAAGACTGGTCGACCAAACCAAACATTGTGGTGCTATAAAGACGCCTAAGGCCCGTATCGCCCGTCGTTCCTACAATTGTAGGGCGCCTTTATAGCCTCCTTGATTGTCAGTGTCAGCACTCTATTTTGAGGTTATGTCACAAATATTTATTTGCATCAAATTGTGTTTGCTTTTGAGTTATATCATGTTTTATCAGCCTGAAATTTCCTACAATTTAAAAAGAAAACATATCTTCACAATAGGAGAGCGCTGACACAGGACAGGTGCAATCTAGAAATTTTTGAAGGAGAGAAAGGAGTATGACAATCAAGGAGGCCATAAACGTGCCCTACAATTGTAGGAACGACTGATGATACGGGCCTAAAATCGATAAATCACCCTATATCTCGGTTATAAAGGTCTAACGACTGATCGACTATAGGTATCTATAATCTCCTCAGTGGTCCCCACCTCGGATTAAAGCAGTTCCCTCTCCTAATGAAAGACCCTGTACATAAATTGAGCAATTCACAGATGAAGTGACATGACATGAATCTATCTAGGGCGACCGTGAATATGTCGACCTTTACAGCGCATCCAACGTTTTGCCTATGCGCATTGTGACTGCCCTACGGGAATGCAATTTACTGGACGCTAACATCACGACGCGATTCGTATAGCATGTTATAGTTTTTTTATGTAATTGAGCCATCGTGAAGGTCTAAATTCCTCTGAGTACCGTGTGGCTATAGAAAGGTACATGGGCAAGGGAGAACGCCACACGGACGCTATCTGGGGAACACGTGTGCATGTGGCAGGTACACATTCTGGCCCTATCTTAGAAGCTCTGCCGGGTGCTACCTCCACCGCGCTCGGCAGTCTGACAATGTACCACCACGTACGGACATCACAACATCCATAGCAAAGAGAAAAGTTCTCTTAGAACGAGTCTCGAACCCACTCATCTCACGGCGACTAGGTTAGTAGACACAGCGTCTACTACTACGCCTGATAGAACTTACGTATTTTTGAGAAACTGGGTCGTACTCTTGCTACCTTAATTATGATTATCTACTAATCGTGTGATGATTGTCCTAGAGTATGGGGTATAAATTGTGGTGCGACGCCAGGAATCTACAATTCTTGGAGATGTATGTTCATAGAGCGACCACGTGTCCACTTCAATGGCTGCTACATTAGTAAGACCACCTACATTAGGAATGGAGAGAACAGTTTTCAGGATCAGTTTTACCGGCCTTGGCATTTAGTTACGTATTATAGGTACCTAAGGTAATATTTTACATAAATTTACTCAATTTATTTAGTCAAGGTAAAGCCCCCTTTTTAATGGCTTAACATGGGCCACTGTAGTAGACACGGTTAATACCAACCTATCAATTTCACTGAAAGGTGCCACAAATGCTTTGTCAAAGTTCAAGGAGAAGTAATTGCACATATTCACTTGTCGTCCCATTTAATTATTCAGGAGTAAGTGGCGGTATGAGCTATCTCCTATTGATGTCATATTCACTAGCAATATATTTTTGTATATGCTGTCTATACGGGGGCATATATAAAAACACAATTTATTGGAAACTATACCATTAATATATATTTTTCAACTGAACAGACTGCGCAATAGCCTAGCATATATTTTTGTGGATTTTTCACCCTCACTTTCGTATTATTAATTAACCATATAGTCCATATTGACTTAGTATGGAAATTTACGATGAGGACCGACCACTCTGTAACGCCTTACATCGGCCATCTTCACATATAGGTCGATAGATGTTCAAAACCATATCATCTGATAGATATGCGTGTTGTCGGCCAATAAGTGAGCGACTCTATCAGCTTATGAAAACTAGTTTGGCTGACACGTGGGGGCATTCCCGCTCTGGGAGCAGCCCCTTCGGGGTATTTCTTGCCATTCTACGCTGTGCAGAGACCACTTATGCCATACAATGCCGAACAGTGTCACTTTTTATAATTATTATTCAATCGAGTTTTCGATGAGCAAATTTGTGAGTTATCCCTACAACAGCCATTTACAGTATACACGCAAGTCTGCCGAGCCTCGAGCAACTTTCTGCCAAGTCACAATTGTGACAAGTATGGTGGAAGCGCCTGGTATCGCAACTGGTATCTCTCGCACTGTCAGCTTCAAACTCTGGAATGGTCGTGAAGTACTTTATGAGAATGTACCTATGGAAAAGAATAGTTGTCGCGAATTTTGAAAAAGTTCTTTTAGCTTATTATACTCGGCGCCTCTGTATACAGGGTGATTGTAAATTCGACCTATTCCCTGAAAGTGGTGATTCTAGAGGTTATTTGTGATAAATTAATCCCCATCAACTGGGGGTCGGAAATGAGCGGTTTCCGAGATATCGGCATTTCAAGATTTTTTAAGAATTTTCTGCTTACTGATCAATACATTTTTTTTTAAATCTACTCATTTCTTGGAACTGAATTGATGTTTTTCTGAGAGCTGTGAAACTAGCAAATAATTGAGATAAAAATGCTGTACCAAAAGTTTGAAACTGTTAGAAATAAAAGGCTGTTAATGAAGAGATTTTCATTTTTGTTTATTATTTCCGAAAATCACCATAAGTTATTTGAAATAAAATGTATGACAGTCGGCGTACAAATTAATAATTACAGAATTTCATGAGCTTTCAAAGACAGTATTAAATTCTGTACAAATTTAACTTTTTCAGGCATATCCTAAAAAAAACCGTGCAAAGGTAGGTACAACTAAAATTTTAAATTAAATGAGCTCGGTAAGGTTTGGAATCTAATTAATTAAAGAAAAACAGGTACTGTATAAAGAATTAATGAAACAAAATACAGCGTTGGTACTTAAAAACTATAAATCTTGTTCAAATTGCCTGCCATTGTTACGCATGCAAGTACGTAGCCTACGACGTAGTTGGGTCACTGTCACTTTTGTTGAAAGAGTGCGTTTTATCTCGTCGGTAGTTGCCAAAATCCTCTGCCTCAAATCTTCGATATCTGCAACGGATGTATTGTAGACTAATTGTTTCATGTGACCCCAAATGTAAAAATCGCAAGGCGTCAAGTCTGGACTTCCCGCCGGCCACGGCGTTGGGCCTCCTCGACCGATCCATCACTGCGGATACTTTTCATCCAGCCATTGTCGTACACCTTGAAAATAATGGGCTGGGCAGCCATCATGCTGGTACATCATATTGATTCTCCTAGCTAGCCGAACATCTTCTAGTAATGCATCTACTTAATTTCTTAAAAAGTTTTCATAAGTGGTGCCATTTAAATCTTCGGGCAAGAAAAAAGGTCTAATCAGTTTATTATGTATAATTGCCATCCAGACGTTTAACGAGCATCTTCTCTGGTGCTTGCCTTCCTTGAATTGTTTTGGATTTTGCGCTTAGGGGCCCAATAGTGGGCATTGTAGTAATTTGGAGTGTAATGGTATGGATAAAGTTGCGCTGTATGAGCAATAAAACAGGATTTCCATTGGGATATGCCAAGTTGCCGTGCCACTTGTCTAGTTGACACAGTGTGGTCTGCTCGAAAACACTCTAAAATTTCTTCTTCGTCAGCATTATGGATAACAGGTCTGCCAGCATCTATTTGTCGTCGATGAACCGTCGGTAAGTAGTACCAAACACGCTTATACACATCAGGTAAACGCCGGTAGGGAAACGCCTTTGGTAATCCCTTCGTGCTGCAACAGAGTCACCATTACAAAACCCGTAACAATACATAATGTCGGCGTATTCTTCATTTTCGTAAGAGCCATTACATACACAGACAATTTGCAGGAATGTTTAGTAAGATCACAACACGATACAACACGTCTGAATTCCAAAGATAGTTGGTACTAAGCGATAAACAAACTGCCGGTCATGACGCATCACGAACTCGTTGGACACTCCGATGGGCACACCCGAATACTTACGAAGTTAAACGAGTCAGATATCTCGGAAACCGCTCATTTCCGGCCCCCAGTTGATGGGAATTAATTTATCACAAATAACCTCTAGAATCACCACTTTCAGGGAATAGGTCGAATTTCCAATCACCCTGTATGTCGCGACTGTGACTTGGGGTTATGTTTGCTTGGGATTGAGAAGCCTCGCTGTTGTCAGTCGTAGTTAATGAGCCCTCAGAGGGTGGTTCTTTGAACCTTGGTTTTTGGATGCAAATGGTTGTTGTTTCGCCGCCACCTAGTTCCAAGCACTAGAAAAAGAAATAACAAGTATAAAATATTGGATCTCTGGCACTAAAGGAGATGCAAACTCACAAGTACACAAACATTTATTAAACAAAAGAAATACAAAAAAAATAAAAAATCTTGGAGGACAGGCAAAAGAAAGTTATTTTATATTACCCCCCCTCCCCAGCTAAATGGTACCAGTAAAACTAAAAGAAAAAAAGAACAGGTAGGCAACAGATGAAACTCAATACCCGAAGGTAGAACCCTAAATAGAAAAAAAGTACTTGTTAAAAATAACCCGAATTAACGATTTGACTAATAATCCCCCTTTTAATTTGTTTCCAATAATTAAACATTATACTTTAAAGTGGAACCATTTGGTCTTGGCTTACATCAATTCAAAAATTTAAAATTAAAACACAGCTGCTGTTCAATCACTGTGTACAAGGAAAATCGTGATTGCACTAGCAATACCCAAATTTTCAAATTAAGCTGAACTAAATTAAAATAATCAGATACATGTATAAAAAAACATAAGGACCCGGAGGTATAATATTTCATGTCCTCGATCAACTTATAAGTAAAGCAGTTAAAATGTTACTTGAGAACAACATGAATATTTTACCTCAGCATGGCTCACTCAAATTGCTGCAGCAATATAAAAATAACACTATATTAGTCTCAGTGTATGTACAGAACAATATATAAATGTTACCAATTAGAAATCTAAAGCATTTCTCTCTTTTTACTACTAAATAAGTTGATGCATTAATAGCTTTTGACGAATTCAATATTCACCTAAACAATGGATAATTAATTGTTTAAAATATAATCCTAATATTACATAATAACGCCTCAACTGGCACAAATAAAATCACTAATAGTTTTATGCTTAATTTTTGAACGAAGTGGTTGTGTTTTCAATTTGTACGAGATTAAGACAGGCCTAGCAAAGTAAAAAAAATAATAATTAGCTCGAACAATGAGGTTTCACAGAAATGGGGACTGCTCCTCACAGGCGTGATACCTTAACCTTAAATTCGCCTCGGGGTATCACTGCAACCAGTTCCCCACTGTAGAATTAGTAATCATGTTGAGGAAACGAACACGAGGCTCGTCACTCACCAACTCGCTGGTTTAGTGTAGTTAGGACAACGGCTAAATCCCCAAGATGGTGAGAAAAAGGGCGCCGTCAACAAAACTCACTAATGGAGGCCCATTTCTATTAAAATCTCCACCATCCGATAAATCCGCAGCACTGCGAGTGAAATTATTTCACTAAATCGGGTAGTGGCGCTGTACTGCCGATACGAGAGCACCGGAAATAGCACCAAATCACCTTCAGCTCTCGTATTTACGGTCGACAGAATTATAAAAAATGACCTTTAACGAGATGGAGAGTAGAATATGATTTTCTACTTTAAAATTATTAGACTAAGGGAAGTGTTTTGTTATAAAAACGAGATTCGATATTTTTAAGAACCGCTATAAAAATAATATTCTAAATAAGAAAAACGTTGTAATAATATACTTTATCAAGACATAGTTAATTTTTAGTGGACCATAAAAAGAAACTGTAACAAGGGCTCAAATAAAAAAACAAAAATAACTGTATTGGCAAAGTGGGTTCATACTTTTTGGCTCGAGAAGGTAAAGTCGCCTCTTCAAAGATATATTCGCCCAGAGTGATTCCAGAAGGAATGTCTCCAAGTGTCAGCTCTTACAGTTCTCATAAACCGATCGAATACGCCACATCGACGTCGAAGAATACGCCTTTGCAGATTATGCTTTATTTACCGATGATGTGTGTACAGGTATTTCTCAGTGGGATGTAGTTTAGGATATCTGTCACCCTATATGAGAAACTAGCGCGTGAAAGACGCTTCAGGATGGTAATTTTGACAATATTTATGCTTAAGAATAATTACAGGTTACGTTCAGTAGCATCTAGCTGCTACGAGCTAACGCTGCGTGAAGTATAGTTTCTCTCAGTTGCTGAATATCGTAAACTTTTTCACAATTTTGTAAATTACTCTGAAGGTTTTCAAAATGTTCAAAGCGGTCCGTTTAGATGACATGCTAGATGCGCAATTCTTTCTTGGAACAGCTAGGTGCAACTGTACGTAAGCATTGAGGTCTATTTTTAGTTTATGATCATGTATTTCAGATTCTTTCCTGATGGCTCTGTATTGGTGTTGACTACAGCAGACGAGCCTATGCAGAGTGTTCAACTAATGAAGCAAAAAAATGCGCGTTATCCACTACTCCTGGGCTATTATCGACTCATAAACGATAAACTTACCATCGTAGTGCATCGTAGGGAAATAAAAATTAATTCACAGTTAGCCAAGAAAAAGAAAATGGAAATTCAAGATAATCCGGAACAAACCTTTCATATGGTAAGTGAACCACTCAGTTCGGAAGCATTTCCTGTGGTTGCGTTTTATCACTACTGGTGTTATGATGCTTCTAAACGGGCAATATTTTTCTAGTCCGGACATACTTTTTGGCATAACCGCCCGACTCTTCTTGTTTTATTTTGTGTCAGATTGCCAAATTATTGAAATCCTGCTTGATATAATCTAATGTAAGTAATGTAAGCTGTCGCGACGCATACAATTTCGTCAGTCATTCTTGCGATTTTATAGTCCATCTGATGAGAAATTCTGACCATGTAAATATCTACACATTGCAGACAATATTGCCATGATAGAGATATATGGCAGGGTCACAAATATTGTCCGTTTAATGGCTCCATTAGTAAAATTTACGTTGGTCATGCAGCCTCAATTGAAGTACAAATGATAATACAAGATGTTTCAGAAAAAACGTGGTCATATTTCTATTGAATAAACTAAAGAATAACACGAAAAGTTCCTATAAACATGGGTCCTAAAATACCCATTTACTGGGATGCATGGTTCCTTTGAAAACACGCTGAAGTTAGTGAATTTCGACATTGAACATTGTATGTAGTGCATTGGATCTTCTTTACTCAGCCTACATTTATTTGGATGATATTCGTGTTTTGTCCTTGCTTAGTCTCATCAGCGGCGAAGAAATTTAAAACCTGTATCTTGGTAGTTCGTCATTTATGGCCTATGTTTCTAGAAGCTTTTTTGGTTATTTTCGCATGTACTTTCTAAGCTAGAAATATTATTTATTGGATTCGACAACCGGGAGAGTATTATTGTCACTTCTTTGCATTTGCGCGAATCACTTACATTCGCAATAACGCGAACAGTTGTTATTTCTGAGCACGTATTCGAAAAAGACCAGTAAACGCTGTACATGACATGAAATTGTCGCTTGACGTCTTTACAAGGAATCTTCTATGGTAATAGAATGATTCGTATGGGTGATCTCAAAAATAGCGTTTTTATTGATCGTTCGCATATCAATCCTCCGTACTAATCACGTTTGCAAATTCGTAAATTTTTGAAGGGTGTCAGGAATTTTTAAAATGGTAGTGGTGCCCACCGACGATCTATATATCGTCGGCGGTGGTGCCAACAGTGCCGAGATCACGTCAATTGATTTATTCACGATAATCGATCGAATAGAGAATCGAAAAATACGACTGGTTTTTGATAGGGCATGCACCTGACACATTTTCTTAGTAAAAAAAGATAGGTTAGACTGGAAATTAGTTTTGTTTATCATTTAATCAATTATTCATTGAATTACTGGCTGAAAATGTCTAGACCGACACCCAAGTAATGGGAAATATTGATCGACTACATTGAGAAAAATCCTGGTAAGGCGTATAGTAGTTTGTGGGTACGATATTTTTTCTTGGACATGGCCATCTATTATGACTGTTATGAGATGAATATATTTATCTACAGTACTATGCCTTACCAAGGTTATATTCCTCCTCAATACCTTTGACACGAGCCTGTTGCATAGGATCGGAGAGCACATAACTCTATGTTTTCTATCTTGATTCCACTCACGTTTTCTTTTTCCTCGATATGTGATCTTACCAAAGAAAGTAATTCCTCGGACAGAACTTAGGCGAAATAGTTCTCGAAATCTCCTTCGAGTCGATAGGATTTTCATGCGTCCTTAGATATTGTCGTTTCCGAAGAAGCGTGATATTTTCCTACCTTCTATGTATATTTAAGTCTTTCCCGATCAATTGGAAGCATGGAACTTTTAGCAAAAATAAACAACTTTTTCATATCAAACAGCGAAAAACTGTATTCAATAACTTGGAACCTGACGAATAAATTTGATAGAGTCGAGTCGATAATTCGAATATCGTGAACGTATTCTTACTCCATTGTCGACTAACTCAACCCGTTTCATTCGAGATCGAGACTCGTGATCGTACTGCACTATTTTTGGTTGGTAAAAAGTGGCGATGACATAAAATACCTTTTACTATCCAAGAAGAACGTAATTAAACGTTATTGGAGAGTGCCGATAGGGTCGTAAATACTTTATTAAATTGGAACATTTGCGCATGGATCTCATCCCATTCCTGTGACCGAATATGAGGTTTTCTAGAGGATGATTCAAAAAACAACCCCAATGGTTCTAGAGCAAAAAGTACCAAAAAAATGACAAAATGGTAAAAGATAGTATAAACATAAGTACTTAAATATCCCATTACAAATATACGGGTTGTTTCACATTTCTAATGAGACGTATGAAGGACTAACGCTGCGGTGAAATAAATTTACCCCCTTACTATACTGCATACAATTTTAGAGTCAAACCTGTGTAAAATCAATAATTAATCCCAAAATGCATTGGATGTATAAGTCAGTGGCGTAGAAAATATGTTTCGATTCTGTCCCGTAGGGGTCAAAGTATCGCCCTTTCTACGATAGTGAGAGCCGGAAAATTCTTGTTGATGTCGCTATGATGTTAGTACCGCGTATACTATATAGTCTAATCATATTACCAAATTTTCGTGAAATAATTGTAAAGTCTGGTTTTATTGATGCAAGTTGTTTAAGGGCGTATTTAAAACATGGACGCATAAAATGGGTACACCAATTTTTGTGGGAAATCTTTTTATTCGACAACAAAGAATGAGAAAACGTGTTTTTTGGGATTCAATCTAAAGTGTTGGCAGGAAAGAAAAAACTCTTCAAATAAAGTTTTGAAGTATTTATGATACCTACAGAATGAGACCACACGTAAAAAGATCCCACTAACAGTATAAAAGCTATGGCCGAAAACTGAGGCACAATGCGGGTTATGGCACTTGCTGCTAATGCGACGATAATTTCACGCAGCTACTTCAAATTTTTCAAATCCGTAGGCTTCATACTTCTAAATCAGCACAACAATTGTTTATCCCAAAACACCCGTCTTCCGGCCATCACTACTAGTTTGAAATTGTTTAGAAGAAAAAAACGTAACTCGTTTTTGGCATAAAAATAACAATTATCTTTCGGAATGGCTTGTGATTCATGTTGGCAAGGTAAACTCGTGTATTTTGCTATAAACTGAACGAACCCTGTATATTGCTCAGGAAACTAGTAGTGATGGCCAGAAGAAAGGTGTTTTGGAATAAACAATTAGAAATTCTCAAAAACTATTCGTCCAAACTACTCCAATTTTGTTGTTATTTAGACGTATGAAGCGTACGGATTTTAAGAATTTCAAGTGGCCGCGTGAAATTATCGTCGCATTAGCAACAAGTGCCAAAACCTACATTTTGCCTCGGTTTTCGACCATAACTTTTTTACTGTTAGTTAGATCTTTTTACCGGTAGTCTCACTCTGCAGGTTTCATAAATACCTAAAAATCTTATTTGAATAGTTTTTTCGTTCTGACCAACACTTTCGATTGAATCCCAAAAACACGTTTTCTCATTCTTTGTTGTCGAATTTAAATTTTTCCCACAAAAATTGGTGTACCCATTTCATGCGCCCTTGTTTTAAATACCCATTTGAAAACTTGCGTTAATAAAACCAAACAATTATTTCGCAAACCAGTGGTATTTTCGTCTAATATGATTAGACTAATATGCAAAATTACAAGACGATACATTTTCCTACTCCGGATATCATTTTTTCATGGTTTTGAAGCCATAACTTCAACACTTCGTATCTCAGTAAGGGGGCATTTTAGGACTCGTGTTTATGTGAACTTAACGTGTTACTTTTGGACCTACTTTCTGCCCTAGATATATTTCCATTAATTTTTGAATCACACTCTGTTATCTGTTTGATAATATTTAAACACGGTGCTCAGTAGTCCTAGCGAGTGTTGTCGTGTACCATGCCAACAGCCGCAGATATTCATTGCAATTGTAAAAATTATAATATTCCGATATGATCTTGTTTAGTTTATGTGAACCAATACTAAAGAAGAGTCTGTTTGAAAAGAAGAATTGATGAATTTTTTCTACGAAACAGCTCTAAAAGATATTTATAATTATCGCTGACGACTAGTATTTACAATAAACAGAAAATATTTGCTTTTGCTATGTAATCTTCGATCCTTCCATATTCTCAATCTATTGCATTCTCTTTGTGGTGGAAAAAAACGATTGTGGTGAAACAAAAGCAAGCCTCAAGTAATCTAACCTGACACTCTTCTGACGACATCTCAACTAGGATGCTTCTACATACAGAGCCAGTTTTTAATGTTTAATCGGTCGATAGTTCCGATATTTTAAATATACAGGGTGTTGGGGAAATAATATTCGTAACTTTAAGAGGTGATTCGTTGCATTATCATAAGCAAAAAAGTGCATTATAACTTATGTCCGAAAATCGATCGTTTTCGAGGAAAGGGATTCGAAAATAATTACATTTTTTCAAACATTTGGCAACGCTGCAACGCAACCGCGATACGAGCGCACGACGACCGCAACTGATTCATCGAAATGTTTACGTTTGTATGATATTTTTGTTGAAAATATGCCTTGAATTATTGAATACTTTTACGCAATTTTTTGTGGCTAATATTTTTTATTTAATAACGCACATACCAGCACATTTACTTAAAAAAAATGACAGAACTTACCGGTACGTGGCGATACACACCACCAATTCCTACGATTATCAGTCACTTATTTGAAACGATGCGATGCACGAAAAAAAGAAAAAAAACAACATCCGTAAATCACATAAAGTTACAGTTAAGTGTATTAGTAATCACAACAACACGCGATGATACATGCAGTGCAGGCGGACTATGATGTTGCCAGTTGTGTGAGAGATTTTGTTTGTTTTTCTTCGGACAATTGTATTTAATAAGCAAGAAAATTATTTTGTTAGAGACAGTTAATTAATAAATAGATGTATTGATACATTTTACGCTTTTAGGCATATTAATTTAAATTATTAAGGTGCAAAATTAATTTATTTCATGACAAAAAAGAAATAAGTTCAGCATTTTTTTCCTCCGAAACGGTTGATTTCCTGACATAGGTTATAATGAACTTTTTTGCTTAGAATAATGCAAGGAATCACCTCAAGTTACGAATATTATTTGCCTAGTACTCTGTATAAAAAAGATAGTTATAAACATTGTAGGCAACTATACGTTTCTTACTAAAATATGCCGCTATCTACATGGTGATTCATAATTACATACAAACAATTTTTTGAATGGAATATCCTTTTTTTATTCTTCGTTCATTCTAATAAAAAAAACTATACACACCCCATAAATCAGAACGGTCAACCTTAGACAGAATTTGCCGAAGACCTCTTTTGTATAGAACGAGCGACGAAAAAAAACATTTGTGTGAAAAGATTTAGTTTTGCTGATGAAAAATGCTTCTTAAAACTTTCAGTTAAATGTTCATCTGAGCTTAGAATAAAATCTGAGAGTAGATCATTTTTTACCATAGTGGCGGATTAGCAAGAGTAGCAGATGCTACGGACCCCTCGTATTTGACCCCGCACTTTGTGAGTGTAAATAAGTGTCTCGTCTGATGTAGCCGCCCCCCCTCCCTCTTCTAGAGGGCTAGAGGCCCCGCGTTCTTGGTGTATTGTATCCCAGGCCATCTGAATGGTTTCGTAGAGCCTCCAGGCTTGATCCAGGGTGTCCCATACATGTTCGGTGAGGGAAAGGTCTGGAGATCGAGGATACCACTGAAGCAGATTTACTCCGGACGCTTCCAAAAAGTCTAAACTAACACGTGCGACATGAGGTCGTGCATTGACCTACTGAAAAAGTGGATCTTGCAATGCTTCCAAAAAGGGAAGCAGATGCGGTTGTAAAACTTCGTGGATATAGTGCTGGGCAGTCATGCTACCTTGAATGAACACTAATAGTCACCTGCTGCCGTAAGCAATGGCACCCCATACCATAATACCCACAGTGCGATGAATATGCAGTTCGATGGAATAATGTTGTCTTTTACCACATCTCCTCCTTATTCTTGCACGGCTATCATGTGTGCCCAATCTGGATTCGACCGAGTACCATTTCCATATTCCATTCAAGTCTCTCCCTACAACATACCAATTGTTACCGACGATGCTGTGGGTCAGAGATAGTACAAGATGGGGACGGTATGAAAACAATCCAAAAGTCCTTATTTGGCGATAAACTTTCCTCATTTGTATTGACCTTCCGACAGCACCAAACCACTGGTTCGCAACTGCCGTTGTGGAAAATCGATCTCTAATTGCTAGTTTCCTCAAATATCGCCTCTTGACGTCCAGTACCTCTAACTCGTCGGTTTCGGCCTTCTTGGAGCCACGCTCGACAACATCTCATTACAGTAGCTTCGTTTCGATTCATCCGATTATCGATTTCTCTAAAAGAAAATCCGGCTTCACGTAACCCTATTATCCGACCCCTCTCAAACTCGGAATGTTGAGTGAAATTAGTAACTCTATGCATGATAATGCAATGAAACAACAATGAAACAAATGGAACCAACGCAGAAAAATAACTGAATAATAAGTAAAAATGTGAATAATATTCGGATCCTGATATGGCAAAAAAAGCCTTTACAAAAAAAGTACGACATTTTATCAGCGTATACTTCCATGATAGCAAATATGTTTACAAGTTTTTTGATCAAAATTCAGTAAACAATTCTGGGTGTTGCATTTTATGTCACTTAGTATATATCAGACAAGACACGTCTAAAACCAATAATTGTAGTACATAGTAGTACTAAACTTACATTACAGGATTATCCCTACTTGAGAAGTCGCTGTCAGAAACTGTGGAATATGAACCTCATTTTGTCTTAAAGTTTACTACTTTATCTGCAAAAGTGATTGACTCACAAGCTGGCAAAGTTCAGAGCTTTCTCTACAGAAGTAGCAGTGCATTCTACCTTATATCAGACTTCTATTGAAAACGCATTTTAATAATGTATGTTTGTATTTTCACATAGATATGACTCAACCTGTGCAGAGCGGCATACTTTCCAACTAAGGAACTAGTTGCCTACATATTCTATAAATAAGTTCTTTAGATATTTAAAATATCGAAACTATCGAACTGTGGCATTGTCATGAATGTCATATGTCAGAATATCTCAAAAAGAAGTGTTTTAACAACAGGTAGAGTGTTCCCGATCATCATGGGCGCATGAGAGCTCCATGTTTGCCGCATTTGTGTGTCAGATGGTAGCGCCAACGATTTGGCTGGGTGGGAAGTATAACGGAATGGAGCGGTGTCCATGCCAGTTGAAATTGACAAGGTGACACTTATTTAAGAAATGATACCTAGATATTATGTACTCTGGAATCTATCGTTGCTAAACGTTGTTCAAAAATATTCAGCATGTTTTGCTTGAAAAAACTTCAAATAGTTAGTGAATGAAGATACCTCTAGTAAATGTCTACTTGCTATTACATTGTGTATTCACACTTCAGATATTTAGTACCTTATTGGGAAAAACTTTCACAGATGACAGAATGATGTTAACATTACTTAACGTTAGAGGCATGTCTTTACGTCAAATCTTATCCATCTACTCAAAAGTAGTATGTAGTATGATTATTAAGAATTATATTTTTAATACACAATCACGCGATACACTGTTCCCAATTATATAAGTGTTATATTACATGAAAAAATCGATAGATGTGTCCCAAATCCTTGGTATTGAACACTGTAGTCCTTTCTCTCCAGAACTCATCAGGTTTCTTCATTCAATTGCCTATAACTCTGAACAATACAAACATTACCTTGATGTCATTTCTGTAGTCTTCATAAACCTATTGCACATATTGGTGCCTTAAATTTGTTGCTTTAAGTGGTTAAAATGTTGCTTTACATGTTTCACACAACTTACGGGTTTGTGATGTTAACCAACACCAGTAAGAGTTATAGAAGAATTTACGTCAGTACAAAAAAGTGTTAGATACCCTTTATATATTGGTGCCAAGAACAAGAGTTATTCACAGACTGACGTTACAAAATAGACGTTCGTTATACCATTTTTTGAAAAAAATAACTACTATCAAAATTACTGGAGGCATAAAAGCAATTGTCTTGGGGGCTCTTTAGAGTGATGTATGGATTATCAGTATATGAGCCGTATGAGGGTAAACGATGAACAAAACATGAAATGACAAATGCTTCAAGTAACAAGACTCAAAAACCAAAGGCAACAGAACCCCAGATCACTCCGAGATAAAGAAGGTTATGATTATAATCAGTTAAAGTGTAGTCACCGTTCATGGCGGGTCAAAGTAGGACTACCAGTATCCCTTTATATATCTCCATCTCCCTCATACATACACATGCAACTTACCACTGTGTGTGAACGTTTGTTCGGTAAGCTCGAAGACATACGTTTTTTAGTTGTGTCTCCGTCTTCAACCATATCTGTCAGAGTGACAACTTAATTGACATCGACGTGGAATTTGAGTTGTCCTCTTATCAATCTAAAATATAAAATTGTACAATGCCCGGAAATACGATCAATGGAGCAGACCGACAGCTTGTGCTAAATTTATTAGAATATTTACAGGAAGAGAATGAAAACAGCGGTCCCCTGTTACCCAGTTCATGCGTACTGGAGATAGTAGCACTTGCGCTGAAGATTAGTCTGTGCAATCAAGACCGATGATGTAAGTGATGCCGTCAAAACAGAAATTAGGAATTCTTTCTACGATATGAGAAGTAAAGGACAACAGACAACGCCTAGATTCAAGTTTAAAGGGTATATTTAAAGCTTGCGGTTTTTCCTACAAGATAGCCGCTGACTCTTTGTGTGAAAAATCAGACATTGTTTCCAAACGTATCTATTTTATGAGACATTATATGAATAACCTGAATAGTACAAGCCATTTCCAATGCGTTTTCTTAGATGAAACGTGGATATTTGCCAAAGGGTCGTTTAAACGAGTATGGCAAGATAAAAACGTAGATAGTTTGAAAAGCGGCCATCAGGGTACCGGCTTGCGGTATGTTGTTCTCCATGCTGGGACCAAAAACGGGTTTTTGTGATATACTGCATTGTTATTTGCTACAAAATAGTACCTTAACAGAAAAAATGCCCAATTCCAGAATAAAATGCAAATGAAGCAATGGCTGCAGGACAAAAAAATACATTTTGATGATGGCGATTTTAAACTCGAGCTTTTAAATCTGTGTCGCCTTAATAGACCATCGGCTCCAAGATATAGCATAGGCGAAATATTACATGAGCATGGACATACATTTTTGCGGCTCCCCCCTTACTATTGTCTCTACAACCCTATTTAGTCTGGGGAATAGCCAAACAGTACTATGATCGACATATTGGGGAAAATGGCTATGGTGACAAGTTTTTAAAGTTTGGGACAATGCTCAAGCGAAGGTGACTCCTACAGTTTGGGCCAAGTGTGTGAAACATACCGAGGACTTGATTAAAAACGACTAGGATAAGCATCAAGTGGAGGAGACTAATATAATCATTCACTTGGGGGAAAGTTCAGATCATTCTGATGAAGAAATTCAATAATTCCTAATTTTATTGAAACAATTTTGAAAATTTTTAATTCTTAAATTTCTGTGTGTGCACCTTAAATGCAGATTGTTAAATATCTTGATAGATATGGAAGTTACAAGCTTGATGTTTATTAAGGCGCTCACAAGCTTGTCACATATCCATCAAGTTAGTAAATAGATGTGTTATTTTGTATTGTATTTTTTATTTCAACATTAAAAAACACCAAATAGCGTGTCATACTATACCAATGTGTTTATGTACTAGATTAGAAGATTTTTGAGAATTACGATTGGTAATTAATTTCGAATCGGTTTCCCTCTGTTATGAAAATCAAGATCCACCCATGGTATGGAGACTCGATCTGTTTACTTATTTCATATGGGTTGATGACGTAACCGCCAAGAACGGTGACTACAACTATATAATTTTAAAACCTAACATATCAGCTGATATCAATTAAGAGCAGCGCAAACGTCATCAGTCTGCAGGTGGTTGAAACATAATTACAGATGTGAAACTCTATCGTTTTTTAAGGCTTGCCCGCTTATCTTTGTTTTTAATGATAAATAAAATCTGAAATTTCTCTCCGTTAGCGTTTTTTTTCCATTGCATGACTATTCCCTTATTATTGTTCACATTTAATTATTAGTCCTCAAATCGGTGTAAGTATCAATGGATTATCCTATAAATAATAAGCGGCTACGCTGCCAAGTGTAGAAATGTCGATTGTTAATGTCAAAAGTTTCACATGATGCGACCACAGTGCTAGTTGAGAAGTCGTTATCAGGAATGTCAGCTTAAATTGTTGGTTGTTACTTTGCTGGTGGTTTGCTCTCGTTTTTGTTCCGCGACAAAGACACGGAAATTCTTGTTATTCAGTGAATTTTGTGTTTGCTTACTGTTTTTAACAGTGTTTACATTGAAAATGCAATGGATGAAGAATATTGAAACAGTGAAGAATGCATAGCATAAGTAAATATTTGTCCATTTATTGTAAATACTGATAGCCTTCCACCATTACAAATTTATTTTGAAGCTTTTTCATAAATAAATTGTAATGCCTGTTACTTTTTTGGACAAACATACTGATTTTTACTATTAGTTCACACAAACAGCACTAGATCATATCGGAGTATTAAAATATTTACGATTGCAAGGAATATTTGCAGCCACTGGCATGGTACGCGGCAACGCCGGCAGTACTATTGAACAATCTTTTATCGTTTTATTAGGAGAATTTACATGTGATTTTCTCCGCCTAAGTGATGGTCGTTTTTTCCACTGACAGGAAAGTTTCATAGCTAATTGTCATCTAAGCTGTCATACAAATGAGGAATATTATGTGACGTATTTGTTCTTTATCTTCAGGAGTTCCAAATAAATAGCCATCACCGCAAAATGCACAATCAGCTAATATGGACGCACTATTCGGTCTTCACTAGAACCAAAAAGGGAGAGGAAAGCACCTGTATATTTGATTTAATACCCAACCGTTACCCACCTCTATGGTTTTCTCGAGTTAAGAGTTTCACTGCTGTATCTGAAAATCCTTTGCTATAACAAATCGATTATCTATTCGTTATTCTGAGTTTTCAAGAATCGCAAACACGATACATGAGATTTTGGAGAGTTATATTTCCCGATATTGTTCTCTTTTTATCGCCGATTAATATCTTGGTGGACCCAAACGTTGTGGGTTTTAAGAGGTTATAATCTGAAATCTGTTAAGGCTAGATCCCACGATACTTATTTCACCTAACAAACCTATGGTTGCCTTTCGGCGGCTTCAAAGCTAAGGTTGTTTTTGGCATAATTCTATCTGACATTACGCTATTACGGGAATTGGGCAACAATACCCTCTACCATTTTCAACACCATCTTTTTGATAAAAGATTGCGACACGTGACAATGACTTTGGAGAATCAATGACTGCGTTCATTACCACTCAGCATTTGAATCTTAGCCCTACTTAGAGTATGCTATGAACAATGAAGATAATCTTCTAAAGGATTCTCCAGACAGGGCTAAAAGTCAGCTACTGAGTGCTCGTGACCACAACCCATGATTAGAACTACATAGTAATTTCGGGGAATATGACCATTTTTGTTGGTCGAGATAAAACAAAATAACAGCTATTCTAAATCATATTTTGGAAATTAATAACTAGTGGTATTATCTAAAAGTATCGCTTGATGAATTCAGGTAAAAAGATGTGGTCCCCAGATTACAAAAAAAAATATAAGTAAAAATTGGCAATTTAGGTGCTAAACAAAAGTGGAGGGTAATATCGGATAAAGGAAATAATAAGACGAAATGAATAGAAACCGGTTTAATACTTCTATTGTAAACAGTTTATTTGCAAAAATCGTAAAGAATACATCCCCCTCACTACCAGAGCATGCTTCGTGAGCCCATTCTTCACAGATAACACCATACTTCTCTACTACGACTCATGGTAAAGGTTTTCCGAGAAAAAATGCATTCTGCATTGTCAGAAGCTGGTTTAGTTTTCACATAGGTAGAGAGTGGCAGTTCATCATCATCTAATTCGTCGTATACAATAACAGACTCCGACTGAGAAGATGGCGATGAAGTTGATAGAAGGTTTTGTCTTTTTTTCTCATGCGCCTTCGAAGAGCATGGACCAGCTTCGTTGGTTATCTTTCTTGTGACCTTATCGCGTGAAACATTAATGGACTCTTCTAGTTCATCTTTATTTGGCGTTGAGGTTATTATTTTCGCCTTTACACATTTTCTGCCTCTTGTGCCAATTTTCTTTTTTAATTCTGGCATGGGTATGACATCTGTGGGAAGAACATTTGGAAGACTTGCATTTCTATGATCTGCAGTGATATGTTCTCTGATTGATGCCTTTTGCTGTTCAGCCTCAAAATCTTCATCAGAAAAACATCTCTCCGCACAGGGTATATCCCAGTTACACTGAACCCCTAATGGTTCTCTCCCCTGTTTGTACTTTTAGATAAACTCGTCCAAAAATTTCACATACATCAAAGTGTGTTATAGCTGGATTCTCTGATCGCAAAAAATTCTTACTTCTTTATTGTAGAAGGTTTTTAGTGCACCCATCACAGTCTTGTCCATGGGCTGCATCTTATGAATGGTATGCGGTGGTAAGCACATTATGGTGACAAAATTGTCTCTTGCCTTAATAACCACATCTAAGTTCCCAGTGTGTGTATGGTAGCCATCAAGTACAAGAAGCACTGGACTTGTCTGTGTAGGTTTTGTTTTTTCTAAAAAGTGGTCAAACCATTGCGTGAATAAATCAGTTTGAATCCATCCTCATGGATGAAATGCGAATATCGTTCCCGGAGGACCTTTTTTAATCTGCTCGCTGCTGTTTTTTCCGGGGGAAAATAAGCATAGCAGGCACAAATCCCCCTGTAGCATTTATGCACAATTCCGCTGTGACCAGGGATTCTCGTTGCGCCGACGTGAGTGCGCCCACTTGTTTTTTGCGTCTCATAGGGCACCTGGACTGTACAATACACAACCCGTTTCGTCCACATTGTGTATTCGGTCCGGAGCGAAGTTTTTATCTTCCATCGTGATTTCCAAAAGAACAAAACATTCTTCGATGTTCTCTCGATTGAATCCCAGAGCTCTGGCTGTTAAGGTGCCAATAGATTTTCTGAATATCTCAATATCGTTTGGTGTCTCTTCATATATGCATAGAGCCAATCTTTTCCAGCAGACTCGCGCAAAAATGAAAACTGATGCAGTAAGTTGTTACGCCATAGATCGCATATCTTTACGAGTCAACTCAAAATACTTTTTATCCATTTTCAATAAATATTTCACAAGTTCTTTCTCCAATTCGGGCGACTAACCCGTTTTCTTTCCCAAAGTAGTTTAGCAAACGATTTTAGGGGAACCCTCTTTGTTACAGAGGCGATGAAGAGTGCCACGAGGAACATGAAATCGTTTTGCAGCAGACAGGTAGCCTAAACTTTTACTCCTTACAGCCTCAATAGCTTTTTCCATCTCTTCAGGATTCTACTTTTTCCTTTTTTTTCGAACAAGACATTGCATCAGTCAATAAAATTTTTTTTAGAATCCTTACGTTCTATACTATAGAATTTTGACGCAACTATCGAAAATCGGCAAATATAAAGTAAACATATCAAGAAGTAACCCTAGAAAATTTATCTACATTTAAACAAAAATCTTTGGCTAATATGGAATACTTTATTGTCGAGAAATATGGAATATTCCTTAATACCTGAAACATCAGCGGTAGATATGATAAGACCCCAGAAATATATTACTTGAATTAACTTTCCAATTGAACAATCAATAATTACATTAGTACCTAGACCTCGAGTCGAAAAAATCGATAATTTTATCAAAGTATCGATTTTTTTTTCGTTCAATCAACCTATAAAAAATCGATTTTTGAGGAAATAATCGATTTTTGTAGATATTTTGATTTTTTTATACGAAAAATGCTTATTTTATATATAAGTATAAAAAAGGGCGACTTTTAGATTATAGATTCGAATTATTCATATATAAATATTCAGTACTCTTAAACATTTTATTGCAGTGAAAATAATACAAACAATAAGAGTAAGAAATATAACGACAGTTTTTTGGTCTCAAAACTAATCAAATACAAAACAAATCACTTTGTATAATTTAAGTTTAGACAATAACAAACACTAATTTTAATTATAATTGATCGTTCACAATTTGACTTAAAAATATAAAATAAAATCATGAGGATAAATAATGAATAAAATTACGAACGTATGGTTTCAAAATTAAAATACAATACAAATCGTCCTTTAAACCTTATGTTTAAGTAGTCAAAAAGAAAAGACAATTATTATTATGACAAATCTTAAAACTAAAAAACAATAATGTTTTCTTTAAACTTTGAGTTTAAATAATAAAAAAAACAGAATAAATAATTGCCACAAATGTTTATTATCGCGTAACATTTGTCTAGAATCAAAGAAAAATTAACCGATTAATTTAAGTAGTAAATATAACGATAATTGTTAGGTATGAACATTGAAAAAGAAAAGAAAGCATACTTCAAACTACAGATCAAAATATATCAAAAAGTGTTGCCATAAATGTTCAGAGTTTAAATATAATAATTTTGGTAGTCGCTTTCCTAAAATACGGTTTAGAGTTTTTCTGACAATATTTCCAGCATTCGAAAATAACCTTTCAGCTGGTGCAGAAGTGGCCTGATAGGTGTTTCAGAGCCAAGTCGGTTAACTTTTTTATCATTGATGTATTAGCAGCCATTATTATATCATGGTCTACCTGCCATATATCTTGTCCGTCGTCGGCCACTTCCGATGAAATAGATGATTAAGAATGGGTCACCGATGGAGTATCGTCATTTCTGGTATTTAAACTCAAACATCGGTTGGTATAATTAATTGTTTTTGACAAAGATAATGGCTCAACTAAATGATTTTTTTTTGAATCTAGGATCCAAAAACGTTGCGACCGAGAAAAGTTGAACTTTTTGGATGTTTTCAAATCTTTTATTTAATTCCGATTGCAATGAATATTTTAAATGGTTTGCCAAATCACTGGTTATCGGTATAGCGTCTAACAAAGTTCTCAAACACTTGATAATAGGTGGGTCTTTGCTAGCTGTCACATATTTTTCAGCGCTCATTTCTTCGGTGACATTGTGAAAAAGCTTTAAAATTTTTCCAATTTCTTTTAGCAGGACAATTTCCTTTGCTTGAAGCATTTGGGGTGCATTCGGATGGTTTATCAAAATAGATCCTATTGTGCTGCTCATTATGACAAAACGTTCAATCATAAATAATTGTTAGTTCCATCTTGTTGATACGTCTCCGGCCAAATGCTTCACTTTTACTTCAGCAACATTTTGCTGCATTTGCATCTGTCGCAATTCTTCGGTGCATAAACCACTTTGGTGGAACCAAGTTACGATTTTTCGGACGTTATCCAAAAAAAGTTTAACATCAGAGGAATTCACAGAATTATCGACTACTAGAATCAATGTATGTGCTAGGATCGAATATGTTTTACTCGGCCAAAAATAATCTCAATGCTTTAACTATGTTACTGCCATTATCTGTAGTAACACTCACAATTTTTTCATGAGACAAACCCCAATCTCCACAACATTATGAATCACCTCCGATAAATATTCCCCTGTATGATTGTCATGAAGCGGTTCACATGCGATATTCATCGATTCCATTTCAAAGTTTTCTATATTACTATACAGTAACATCTAAGAAACTTCTTAACTGCATATCCTTCCATTCATCTATTGTGAGACAGACGATTTCAACAGACCGTAATTTTTGTTTGATAAGGTTTTCTTTCTTCATATTTAGTATCGATGTGATAGTTTTGCGACATGGAACCTTGTACAAGGGAACCACAGTCTTCATTAACTTTTTAAATAATATTCTTTCTACCATACTGTAAGGAAGACTAACCCGACATACCTATCATTTCTGCGATGCTTTTAGTTATTTGTTTACTTTTATCACCCTCTGAAGCGTTTGCTGGAATTCTCTAAAAAGCCGCTCCGATATTTTTTTGATCTAGCCCGTTTTGGCGTTGAAGATGAAGCCAACTTTCTGTTAATGAAGATTGCACCAATGAATTATTATGCCCCAACTTGGTAGTATCCTGAATATCAACTACATGTGAATTCTGCAGCGATAAAAATAAAAACGAAATGAAATTATAAATATTGTAACCATAAGGTACACTAGAGTAAACAATGGAGTATACAATTTTAATGTCATTTTTCGTAAATGTTTGCAATTGAAGCATATAAAATGTAACTCATTACACAAATGTTATCCTAATGCTGTCATAAGGATCGTAATAAATAATAACTATTACATCAAATGATGAGTGTTACCTCGTCAGCTTGTAAGACATCAGAATGTTTCTTTCAATGTACTGTTTCAAGTTTGTAGTATTACTGCATGTTTTTAACTCTTTGGACAATATTTACGTTTTGCGGTGGCATTATCCTTCTGGGTGTTTTACCAGTGGAAGACATTTTTATGGTTAACAACAATTATTTTGACACTTCAAAGAAATAAATAAAGACAAAAAGGATCACAACTTATTATATATTTGTACTCAAACATGGAGCTGATTTTTTATCGACTTGTTCACGTTTAGCAAACTTATCCATTCTTTCATTCGTCGCATAGATAGCATTATTTACAAAAATCTATTCAAAATGTGTAACTCATGTAATTGATTTATTAAAAATCGATATTTGCCCTTAATAAAATCGATTACAAAAAATCGAAAATAAGAAAAAATAATCGATCAAAATAAAAATCGATTATTTATTCCCTTCCATACCTATATACATTTACCTGATCATATGAAGGATTGTTTTAAAGAAATAACTAACAAAACAAGTTAGCAAAAAAACTCTTGAAAAGTGCAATACTCAATGATGACAACTGCCAAAATTCAAAACGTTAGCAGTTGAGTTAATTGACATAAGAAACCTGTAATAGACTAAATTATACTTCTTCAACTACCAAAACATAGGTGACGCCTCCTGTTTCAAAAATAAAGCGTATTCCATATTACCCGGCCTATTCCATATTACATTACTCTACTGATACAGATATATTACAAGATTACAAACTTTTAATATCATTGAACTGAAATCAAACACAACTTAAGTGTATAAATGATAAAAGAAAACTTAGGAGCCTGCTTCATCCAACTTTACATTAATAGTTTAATAATTTTCTTTCTCCAAAGAACTCTGTTTTTTTTCACGGGTCACAAGTTGAACCATTTTTTTTTATTTTTGACAAATTCCAGCATTAAATTTGAGGCAACGGAAACATATGAAGTAAATGTTATGGCTTACATAATTCACTTGTACGGGTCAGGCGTGCGCAACTACATATGTAGTACGTTTTCATGCTCGCTGGTAAATTTTTGTAAACTGTAGTTTGTGATCGTCTTCACCATATGATACTTCTTTTTTACCGTCTTTTTGAGAACCATTATAATTTCAATTTGAAGTGTTACTGCTCAAATCCGTTTGTACCGGTATGCATCTAAAAAAAAAATTGTGTGACGTATATAAGACTACTTATCAACTATGCGTTGTTTGTGTATGTAGCCGCCAGTATACTTACCCGATCGAACATACAGTCGATTGTATACGGAGAGAAACGATATATCGACATCGTCAGATTTTACCGTTAGCCCTATATGGGTCGATCTTTAGCTCTAACCAAATTTGACAGATTTCCCTTACAACATGCGCCACAAATGTGAGCTAGTTCATAGCAACAACTTTTATCGTAAGGAGGATCTACAGGGCTACTTTTGGTTGAGATGTCAATCAAAATTATGCCGAAACCCTACCTTTGAACAAGAATTATACATATTGGCGGCAATCTGTTTATAAGCAACTATCATCACATACACTTTTTTTATACTTGAACTACCACGATATAAACTACGGTTGAACCATAGGTTTGTTAGTATATATAAGGATTTTGCGGATGCAGATATTTTGATATCCGTGGATGCGAATGCGGATCTTAAGATATAAATATAATTATGTATGTCAATTAAGATAAAGAACATTTTTAATACACTCATTAGAAGCTCAAATAATTCCTATACTACGTACGTATAAAAATGTTCTGAATTGTCAACATTCTGTAACTGTGCTGCCGGCAGGGGCATTATGTTAAAAACCTAAATAACGTCAGAAAAACCGACGAAATGTCATCTTGCAGACTAGGTAGTTTTAAGTGTGCAAATAGTTCATTCCACGTTTACTCCCTATGATCGCTATTTGCTGACGTTTAAGCAACACGTACAGCTAAAAAACGAGTTCACATCAAGTGTACAACAGCTTGTGCTAAGTCAACATCTTGTAGAAAAACCTACATTACGTCTCAAAAAACCTACCAAATGTCAAAAAAAAACCAACAAAATGTTACTATTCAAGATACGTAACATCCTTTAAAAATATCGGCAACTAGTAGCACAGTTGTCAGTGGCGAGTTATAAATGTTTATTATTGTCTCGAGTCACTATATATTTCATAAGCAGAAAATATAGCTCAAACCTGACCCCTGATAATTATTTGAACAAGAGAACTATTGGGGTAACAAAAAATCAACAAATCAAGCTATGCGACTGCCTGACCTGCGCTCGACGCCCGTGTGGTAATGACTCAGAACACTTTTATACATGTTTGCTATAGTTATGTTGAAAACCGACAGGTCATATTTAAAAAGGAAGAATTTAGCCACCTTTCAAGTTCACGTTTGTTTCGCATAGGTTCATAAATTAAATCTGCGCGCTGTTAGTGATAGTATTTGCATGTGTTCTCGACGAATGCGATACTGTTCGAGTGAATAAAATGAATATTAAGGTATCAATTCCTTTTGAGTGTAACGACAGTACTGCCTCTTCGCAACCCACATTACCTCTGTATCCGCATGAAAATCCGTATTGATAAATACGAATGAGTAAGTGTATGCGGCCGCAAATATTCGCAACAACGTTGGTATAGATAAAGGTATCTGTTGAGAACTAGACTTAACCTATTCAAACCATTTAGGAGGTCGAGGATCCAGATGATAGTCCCATAAGGTCTTTCAGTTACGGAGAAAATATGTACAGCATGGCAAAGTTTCGGAAAATGTAACTGGTTTCCAAAATGTTATGTATTGTATACGCGATATAAAAATCAACTGTTTGTAGTAGATATTTGCCAGAGTATTTTGAAATGCTTATTGTCATAAACTGGTGTAAGTATACATACATATTTTTGAATGGAAGTTTATATATGTACATATTTCTTGTTGTAAATGATGTTGATATAAACACACAGGTTTTATTCAAATTGCAGTTTTATTTTTCCTCAAGTTGCAATAAATCATAAATTGTAATTTGTACAATACAAAAGATCTACCATTCTTGATTCTTGATAGTAGTTGGAATAGTGCTTAGTTCTATAGCATATATTTATTTTTCCTATTTTCACAGCTAAATAGAAAGAAATAGCAAACAAGTCCATAATTTAAACTTCTTAACTGTGATACCACAATAATTGAAAAATATTTAAATGACATATATAAAGACATCACTCTCTAATATTCATATAAAACAATCCTGAATAAAAGTATGTATAGTCTAAATATTTCTTGTACTTTTAATATACCTATCTTTCTAAAAGTTCCTTTTAGTCAGCAAAGTGGAAGTAACTAATTCCAGTGTCTGTCTACTAGGATCTTCCATAGTTTTCTGATGAGATTCACTTAGAAAACTGTTCACTTGCTGTCAAGTGAACAGTTTCCTTCTGATACTATCTGAAAATCAAGGTAGCACATAGAGCTAACGCAAACACTGTGATGATGTGTTTTAGTTATATACTACAGTTTCAGTGCACATTACTTTAATCATGACTAGCAGTAGCAGTGATGCAAATTTCAGGTTAAGCCGTACAGTAACTCTCTGTAATTTCAGTATAGAAACTAGTATTTGCATGGTGACAAGCTAGTTTCAAATAAAGCGATGCTACTTTAACGTTAAATCATTTGAGATGAAGTTAGTTATTTCAAATATGATAGGCCGTCTCACTACGTATGTGTGTAAAACTTATATTTTCATATTTTCGAATTTCCAAATGTACGACAAATCTTTTAGAAGAGTTCGCAATTTTAAGAAAGTGTCAAATGAAACTCAGTTTGTTATTACATTGTGGTATCACCTCTCACCTCAATAGCAGCTATTTACCACTGCGTCAAAATAAATCTAATTTTGATGTAACTCTACGATGGTTAAAATACTTGCATTGAAATATATTTTTCCGCTTTTTGGATTAATTAGGGAGGAATACCTGATAAACAATTTCAATTTGTATAATAGCTTACGTCTAAAATTGTACTAAAACACACATTTCAATCACAGACTTTTAAATACATTCTGGAAGTCTCGAGAAATTATATATCAAATAAGAAGAGACAATAAGAATGTTATCACATTGATGTCTTATTATAGATAATTATTTATTTTCTTCCTCAGAAAAATATAAAATATCGAATCTTATATAAATATTTTTATTAAATTTATTAAACTATTATATTTCTCTAACGTGTTTGAAAGTCAACATAAATACAATTTAACATCAGCTATTCTATTGAACGATTTTTTTTTGACAGGAAGGTCATAAAAGTTGTAACCGAAATTGTACTTAGCAGGTAAAATTTTCGAAACTGCATTCTAACGGAACCTATAGAGATGAGTTCAACATACCGGTTATCAACGAAAGTATTGAACTCGTTTTTTCTTTATCGATTTAAAATATACCGTTTTGAAATGGGGCTAAAAATCCCACATTCAGTGTCATATATTACAAGATTCTGTTTAACATTTTAAATTTATCATGTGGTTTCATACTGATAAATCTCCATGTTTTGTAAAAAAAAGTGATAATGACAATATATTTTATATTTATCTGTCTTCGAGGTGACAGTTCATTTGTTTTTGCCACTACTATACAATGTGTTGCAATAACAGTTCTGGGTGGGTTTTTGCGCTATCGATTGGTGTTTTCGCTGAGATGAGCGTATTTGGTACATCCAATACATCGGACAAAAGCGCATTCAGTTGTCATTTTGAAGAGGCTGGATGGCTTTGGGAGTAGGAATGCCTACCTCAGGCGGTGCTGGACTTTACTGGATTTGCGCGGTCTATTTTAAAATTGAAATGATGGCTTCACGCGATCTCGGTATGGTAAAGGACTGTTCAGGCTATTGTTCCTACATACTGTTTAGTAGTGTATAAAATATATTGTCATCGTCACTTTATTATTTGTACTTTACATACAGGTATGTGGTTTCATTTAACGGCGAGAGATTTATCAGGATTCAGTTCAAAATGGCGGCGTTCAAATAGTTTTTATCAAATTCAATATAATTTGAGAAAATGTACAGTTGTACTTTAATTGTGTAACATTTTCAAACTGATATATTTTGAAGCAACGCAGGGCTAAGATGTTCTCGAGAGTTTTAGTAACATATCATAATTAGTCAGAACTCACCGATGCTGGGTACTACCTATAACGCATTGAAGTACCGCATACATAAACGTTAACGTCAACCTCTTTTGACATCTGTCATACGTAAATCATTGGCTTAAATGTCAAATTAACGTTTTTCACATTTCACATATGAGTTACTTGGTGATTGCTAAACCTCTCTAATATCTCTCTTTACGTTATGTTATATTGCTCAAACTCTAGTAACACCTAGTCTTGTGTTATTTCACATAAAATTGACAAATCATAGTTTATATTGTGATATTTTGCTATTGAATTCTATGTGTCACTCAACTGAGAAGCTAGACTCAAGTTTTTTAATATATATATACTCTATAATATATCTTCAAATTATCTAAGCTATGGTTTGTGACTACTTTTTATATTAGTTTCATATTCTGTCCAAAAAAGTCCTAAAGTTAGCGTTCATGTTTTACATTATATGTAAATTATAACAAAAACAATATTTTATATTCACGTATACCCATCATTTTTACTATATTGCTCCTTCATATAATTGAAAGCTAAATATTTTGGACAGCCCTCATGCTCTGAAGAATCGTAATTGTATATTAATAGTATTACTTTTCAATATCGTGTTTTGTGACATGTATGTCATGTTTGAAATCCTGAGAAACAAAATCTGTTTTGAAGAAGTTTGCGCTAATCATTGCGTTTTTAATGTTTTATATATATTATAGTGAAAAATATGCTATAAACATTGGAATAATCCAGTGGGAAGATATCATTATTAGCATTAATTAACGTATTCTACGTAAAGATATCCAACCTAATGCTATATCCGCGCTTCCAAAAAATTATTCGAGATAAAATGAGATATCTTCACATCACCTATGAGAATTTGTCACAGGCGTTTCTCTGTAGTATATATATATATATATATATATATATATACGTTAATTAACGTTATAAGTGACTTAGAAGAATTAACTCTACTATAGTCCAACCAAGGAATTGAGGTTCATTTTCAGATGGACTTAGAAAATATATGTATCGTGGTCTACAAATCCAAAAGCAAATAACAGAAATACTCTAGGATATCAACAATATAAGTCGCATTCATATTATATTATCGAAAACATTACTATATTACTCAATTGTATTATCAAATTGACATTGAATTAGCCTTCAATAGCTAATGGTTTATGCTGCGGAGCTGTTACGTGTGGATCTTAAAGACACTAAAAAGAACCATTTTCTAAAAATGTTGCTTATAATTATACTGGAAACCTATGAACGTTTTACGTGGTGCGATGTAACATACGGGAATATATTTTGTTTTTCAAAGTACTAACATAGTTTAAAATTTGAGATCTATTTAAAATAAAATTTTGAAAATTTTCTAAAATATGTTTAATCTAGTAACATAATCATTATAAGTTTCCATATTTGGACTTTGTTAGCCCAAGCACCCTCAAACAATTTGGGAAATTAAGTCAGACTGACTCTGCTCCTAATAAATATATGGTTCCCATTTAGTCTCAGCTGTGCTATTGCTATAGGCAAGGTGTTCTGACAGCTGGGACTTTCCTTTTCAGGAACAACTACGTGAGATAACAAATTAAGTACTTGATAAGAAATTTGAAGTACCACCCTGTCACATGTTGCTTGTCGATACTGCTCAAAGATGTCGTTCGATTCAAAAACACAAGTTTGGTAACTTTTAAGTTGCAACATTCCTGGATGTCTAGGTCCTTTGCTATGTCCACTTCGACTTTTCTACAAACGGCCTTTGTACGAGGCAAACAAACTTACGCAGCTCAGAATGGAAAATGGAAATCATTCCCTTTGTAAGCAGTCTCGGTTAACATAGAGTATATACGCTGACGCCGGCGCCTAATTTAGGGCCGTATCGTCAGTCGTTCCAATGCTAGAACCAGTCGAGTCCATTTTTTATAATTTTACAGGAGAGCAAAAAAAAGTTACCCACCAGTACATTTCTAAATTGCTTATTTTTAGGGTTACATGTCTCGTTTTTGTATAGCCCGATAGGTAATTCTAAACTGGGTAAAAATATGATAACTAAATTCGCCTAAAAAAATGGACGGACTTGGCCGGTTCTTGCAAGAAAATAAAATATTAAGTGTATATCATTAATAGAAAACATCTTGAAGTCAAATCTGCAAAAGCGGTGTTACTAGGAAAATTTACTTATTTTGACATGGCCTCTACGCTGTGTAAAGGAAAGTCCCAAATTTAGGAATACCCTAAGAGTTGTTCGATGTTCAATACCTAATCACGTTGGCGTCCAACGTAGATAGCTAAGAAGCAAACGAATTCTTTGTGGTAATTTTTCAGTTGTCTGATTAGAGTCTCATAACGATTTCATAGTCCATCTTGTTTCAATCGTATTGCTTGGTCCGTTCTAACTGTGAATTATATAACCAACCTTACTTATTACTTTAAGGAAGCATATTTTAAATGTCACTAAATAGTCCGTTGCTGCTTGGTGTCATGCTTTGACTTTTGATGTCGTAATCCTAATACCTAGTTCAGGATTAAGAACATCAAACATTCGCCGCATATTGTAGCAGTGACAATGTTACTGAATGACACCAAAGTATAGCAACTTTAACTTCCTATACTGGTATAATTATTTGATTCATCTTTATAATAAAAGCTTAAAATCTTTGACAAGACTGCCTCGTTTTGAATCAGTCCCCTTTCTTCATTTATTTTAACTACAATGCACATTTTATTGTACTTATATGCTGACGTTTTGTGACAGATAATCCTAGATAGAAAACGGACTTCCCCAGAAAATAAAAACAAATACAGTTAAATTGTAAGCTAAAATTATTCCAAACCACTTAGTTAAGAAGCAATAAAAAACGGCTGCAATGCAAGCGATTATAATTCGAATAAGTTCAACTCCTCTTGGAATAGACTGCCAATATTGACGTCAAGACCTCGCATGCAAAGGGAAAAGTTGAACAATCAAATGGAGGAAAACTGCCAGACAAAAATGGATGAGGTTAAGCAAGGTTCCAAAAAGTGACATACTGACGAGTGTTGTCACATTAGGCTTATTAATTTCATCCCTTATCAATAAGGTTATTAGCTCATTCTTGACAAAAGATGCGCAATTGAAAAAATATGTGATATATAAAACCAATGAATCCTTTTGCGTTTTAAGCTATTAAGCTAATCTTTCGAAAAATAAATTTTTTATTTGTATAAAAAATGCGCGAATTTGAATACCAAATTGTCTTTTTGCGATCTTTGATGGGGATGTCAATATTTTTGGAGCGAAACCATCAATGTGCTGAAAAAATGAATCTCCTGAAAAAAAAAAACAGATAGCTAGTAATCAACTTCCGTTGAATTTTTGTATATGAACACACATTTTGATGTAATAAAAAATATCGCCAAGTTCAATGTTGCGACCTTATTAACCCGATCAGAGAAACAACTTCAATAGTAACGTATTTATGGCAATCAACACCGACATTTAACCAGAAACCTGTCATCAAGTAGATGATGTCAACATGGATATCCTCATCAGCTTTGCAGATCTGCGCAGGAACTTCAGGCGCTAGGCGGCAGTACACTTGACTTTGGACATCCAAGCAAGGTCGCGCATTGTCGCTGTGTGCATGGAATACACGGCTGCCACCACCATCACGTGCATGATGTTGTGCGAGTTCAGATACATGTCCACTGCACCAGGGTACCATTTCTCAGGGATGTGGAGTGCGCCTATCGCGCCGCCTGTTATTGATACGACATCCTGGAATAATATGGCTTAATCAAATTAAACAATCCTTTGGTGCATTCAAAAAGAATAGACTAGTTGACACTTCTTTAAGTAGGCCTTAAGTAGTTTATATTTGTTCCATCAGACAAAAAAAATGTAATACTGTATTTTTTTGAGACTTGAAAAACCGTAAAACTTTAATTTAAAAATATATTTTTCTCGTAAACATGAAAACCAACTTGACGTTTTTTGGGAGGTAGTTTGTCAAAGTTATGTGTTATACGGTTGTTATCGTTACTACTACCATTTTTGTAAACTAATTGTATCTCGGCACTTCATGAATGATCTAATTTGTTTTATTTTCATTGTTACGAAAATAGTAAGTAATAGTAATCCCCTGTATCTCCGCCACCGGTGCACGTTCATTTCAAGTAAAGACTTTTGAATGTGGACAATACTTAGGTAAATCCACATACCAAACTTTAGTTCATTCCAGTTGACGGTTTTGAAGATATTTAAAAAAAAAGTGTTTTTTATTTTTAAACTTCATCTTTTTAACCCAGATATGTCTACAGCTCAAATAAATTATAATAAAGTATGCTCTCTGCAAATTCATTCTATATGAAGCATATATTAAACAAATTTATTCGTTTTTAAATTTTATTTTAGGAAAAAGTGTAAAAAAATGCCGTACAAAATATGGTACACTAGGCACATAGGTGAACATTAAGGTTTAGTATGGAAGGACAAAAACATTTTACATGCATCCCTACATTGCACTTAGAGCACCTTGTTTTTGCTCTATCATGACATAAGCCACATCTAGTTGGCTTTTCTTGTGGTATCACAAAATGATCTAAACGATCATAACTAATATCTATATATTCATTAGCCGAAGGACGTCCTCTAGAAAAAGATGGCGGTTTCTTGTTTTGTTGTAACAAGGCTGTGGCAAGCCGCCGTCTAAATAATAATTGATCCATATGTCCTCCGTGCGATCTATAAAGTTGCCAGGAACTATGAACAGCCATATCAATACAGTGGCTGATCAATGAAAAATACCACTTTTTACCCCGGATAGAAATGCGATACAGACCAATATTTTGATCACAACGATCAACGCCGCCCATATTTGCGTATTTACAAGATGAGGGTGTTCTACCTAAAATCAAAAGAATTTTTGAAAACATTGATTTTCTTGCCGATTGTGTTTCTTACCTGAATACTTTTTTTATCCTTTTGAGAGTATCGCTTTACAAAGCGAATTGGTTGCAATCCTGCGGCATTTGAACAGAGTGTTACTAAATTATTGTCATGCCATTTTACTGCAATTATGTTTGTATCGGGAATTTTGTTGTAATCGTAACTACCTCTTTTTTCCCTTTTCATAATTTTAGAATCTCTGAATTGGACGCCTTGTAAACGATTTTCTCTAGCAGTACCAGTCGCAAAGAAATTTTTTTCGGTCAATTTTACCATAAGAGGAGAGAAGTGAAAAAATTGTCGAAAACTAAATGAAATTTTTCATTTGTCCATTTTCTCCTCAGTGCATCAGAATACTCTAATACCACACCAGCACCAACCCCCAAATCTGCATAATTCTTACTAATGTTGGTTGACGGCCCTTAGTCAGGTTCAACCCGGTAAACGTAGCCTAATCTTGATGCGCCAACCCATAATTTATAGCCGTATCGTATAGGTTTTCCGTGAATGAACTGTTTGCATGAGTGTCTCCCAAAATAAGGAACCATTGTGTCATCTACACTATGCATTTCTGTCAAAATTCCATGTTCCATAAATTTTTGATTCAGGCTCGCAAATAAAGGTCTAACTTTTGCAAACTTATCTTCTTGCTGTAAATTGTAGTAAATGGAAATTTGACATAATATACTCAAATTTATCTCGTGTAAGCGCTTCTGTGACGAGTTGATTATTAGCATCTCTTTCACGTTCCCAGACCATTCTTCTACGTGGTACATCGACATAACCACTCAATATTAATGTTCCAATAAATGCCCTTATTTCATACTCTTGCACCTCTTGTTGGCGATTTTTTTGCCTGACATATCTATTTGTTTCAGTTGTTATGCGTGTTATTAGTTCGACGTCAAAAAAAAGTGAAAACCATTCAAGTGGAGTCTTAGAAGAATTATTTTGTTCAAGAATTTCTTCGAAGTTTCCTGGAACTTCTTGTGGTAGATCCTCCTTCACCCATTTGTACGTTTTTCGTTTCTTTAGCTTTTATTTTTTATTTTTTTAGCCAATTCAGACAATGGCAGCCAATTCAGGCAGCAGCGGTGGCCGCAGTAGTAGACTCTTCGGTCTCCTGATCGCCGTGCGCTGTGCGGGTTCAAGTCCCGTCCCAGGAGAAATTTTTCTCTTGGCTATGGATTTTGTGATTGTCCGTAGGTGGTAGACGGTTTCTGACTGTCGAACGCGGAGGTACCACCCGGCGGATCTCGTAGGCGGAGCCAGAATGTGTGCCTGTTGCATGCACACGTGTTCCCTCGCCAGAGTTCGTGTGGCGTCCCCCCTTTCCCATGTATCCCCCTGTAGCCCCACGGTACCCAATTTGTGCTTAGGCGTTAGGCCTTCGTGGTAGTTGGAGTATTAAAAAAAATGGAATATTATCTTCGGAATCAGATGAAGATAGTAGTAGTAGTAGTAGAAAGATTTATTTAGCACATTTGGCTACATAAACAGAACAATTGTAAACAACTTAGTAAACAACTAGTAAATTCAAGCCATATGGTGTATGATGTAAATGCTGGGCAACCTATAATTGTAGATTTAACAAGTGATTTCTCAATTTTACTTTAAATTTTGTCAAAGTTTTCTGGTCTTTTATCTCCGAGTATAATTTATTATATTCAATCAACCCTTGATGGAATACAGATTTGTAGCATATGTTATACTTTTTGGTCATTAAAGGGAAGTCATCTTTATTTCTGGTATTATGTAAATGATGGTCAACATTTGATGATGTTAAATTAGTTAGACTTGATGGAAATATATTATTTTTTACTTTATAAATGAATATCATTACAAGATATTTGATAAAATTTTTTACATTGAGCCATTTTAATTTGCTAAGCATTTGCCTAATTGGAGTATATTTGAGGCTATCAGAGCAAGAGTGGCCTAAGCCACAAATATACAAAAGTGAGTTTGATACAGAAATGATTGATTCTTAAGGTATATTTTAGGGTGAAAGTGGTCTATGCCACATTTGACTACATTACAAGAGATGGCACCACCAAATCTGTTTTTGCATTGCATTAAAAAGTCTCAACTAGAGAGCAACACCGGCCTAAGCCACAAATTGTGGGATAGGCCACTGTTGCTTTATAATTTTACTAGAAAAGAAACGTGGTATAAACCAGTATAATCAAGACACGATTTTTGATTGCTTCTGTTCATTTAAAAGTGTGTAAATACAAAATAAGGAGTTTGATTATCAATAAGAATGGCTTCCACATCGTATACATTCACAGGTAAGTGGTATAATATTCCAAAATTATGAGAAATATTTTTAGGTTAGGTTCCACTAGCTTTTCCATTGTAAATGCCTTCTATTTCTCTGTTCTGTTTGCGAGACATTACCAATGATCTCAACTTAAAAAAATACCCATTCAATTTTTAATAAGTAGTTTTGTCTATTATACGCATTGAATTAAAGCTGCAAACTAATCAAAATTATAAAAAAAGTTTAGCATAACGTACATGTTTCTTTTTATTTAGAATCGGACGAAGAGCCTGATGAACCTTTTCAAGATTCAGGTTCTGAATATCTTCCAAGCGAGTCTGAGTCTATCTCGGAGCTAAACATGTCCCATGAGTTTGACGCTGAGCCCCAAAACACTGAAAATGATGCAGAGCAGCAGAAGAGCTCTCGTAAGCGCGTAAGAAATGAAAACAAGTGGAAACGCAATGTGACAAAAACTAAAAGGAATCTTGGAGAAGCATACATAAGTAGGAGATCAAAAAAACTTGTTCCCGCAAAAGTTTTTAATAATGTAGACAACTGCTGTACAGATCTTTGTTGGCAAAAGATTCTCCCAGAGCGACAAAAGGCTATTTTCCAAGCATTTTACAAAATTGAATCATTTGATTTGAAGTCGGCTTACCTTTTTTCTTGCGTCGATGTTGTGAATAAATCAAGAGTCTATACCAACAATGGTAATACTTCCAGACGACAAAAGACCCGTTTATTTTATTTACAAGATGACCCGGGTAACAAGATAAAAGTATGTAAAAGCTTTTTTAAAGGGGTACTTAAAGTCTCAGATGGCAGAATAACCAGAGTTTTGGTCAACAAATCAAAAGCCATGCCTGCTCCGACAGATGGTAGGGGAAAACAGCCTTCTGCTAACAAAACGCCGGATCATAAAGTTGATAAAGTTAAAGAATTCATTGAAAGGTTTCCAAGCTATCAGTCACACTATTCCAGGAAAAAAAATCCACATCGGAGATACCTAGCCCCAGATTTGAATTTGAGTATAATGTATGACCTCTATAAGAAACAACTAAGTTTAAAAGACGAACAACCTGTATCAAAATACATATTTTCTGAAATATTTTCAAAACAATTCAATCTTCACTTTCATGCACCTGTTTCTGATTCTTGTAAAAAATGTGACTTATTGCAAAATAAATTAAAATTTGAAATGGACGTCGAAAAAAGACAAAGTTTAACAACTGAAATGGAATTACATCAAAGAAAAGCTCAGAGTGCCCGAGAGGGAATGAAATCTGATGCTGTTGTGGCGAAAAATAATTCAGAGGTAACTGCAATTGCTTTTGATCTAATGAAAACTCTTCCGACGCCAGTAATCTCCACCGGAATTAGTTATTATAAAAGGCAACTCTGGACTTATTGTTTGGGCATACATAACTTGGCTACCAAAGAGTCATTCATGTACATCTGGAATGAATCCATTGCATCTAGAGGTCCCCAGGAAATTGGTTCGTGTTTGCTGCATTTTATTAAGAATCAAGTTAAAACAAAAAAATTATTGATGTACTCGGACCAA